ATATATATATATATAAAGTCAGATTCCGCATGGTATTCTTTTTCTCAATTACATTCTAAATCATCTATTTATTTCAAAAATATTAATCTATTCAATTAATTTTAAAAATGGATAATAGTCTTTCTATTACAATTCTCATTTTAACTTTATTCATCGTTTTATTAAATATCAATTAATATTCTTATAATAAATTCCCATTTCCATATCTATTTCAACTAAATCTATATCTGGTTTAACAATCCTTAAAGAAAAATATCATTTCCAATCTTTTCTATTTTTAAATTTATATTCTTATATCTCACAACACGTTACCTTGCAGAATCCCCCTTCCTGTTCTTTTTCTACCCATTGTCTTTCACCTCCTGATAAATAATTTCTTTTCATTTTTGTTTGCTTTGTTTCCAATCATTTTCTGGTCCTTTCCCTTAATTCCCCTTTTTTCCTTTATTATTTCCCTCCATTTCTTATGGCATTTATTTTGTCTCTCTCTCTTGATCTTTCCTCTGTAATTCCATCTTCTATTGTTTCCTTTTCCTTCGTTTAACTTTACAAACAATCCCCCCTTTAATTTATCACATCAAATCTCAAATTTTTAGCTTTAGTTCTTTTCCCCCCTGTTTTAATGTTTGTTGTTCCATTTGTTCTTTAGAGCTGATTTCCTCTTTGTTTAACTCCTCCCCTTCTGGTTCTCTTTGTTCTTCTTTAGTCGGCATCATCATTTCTAATTTTTGTAGTATAATACTTTACATTTCCAAGCTTTCTTTCCTTCATGTTTTGTGGTTCCAGTCTTACTTCCACACATAATTCTCCCATTTTGTACACTTCTTTTTCCCCTTCTTTAATATTTATATCCAATCCAATTATCCAGTAGTTTATTTCAACCAGTGTCTTTTATATTTAATTTCAACAGTCAGTGTCCATAAATCTTTATTTCCAAGTTCCTTCTATTGATTTCTTTTCCAACTTTTTCCCAAAGTCACCAAACAATCCCAGGGCAATTTCTTCACATATCTGTTTTTTCCTTGTAGTATTCTAGTATTTCACTTTTCAGGGTTTTTGTTTTATTATAATGAAATTCTTCTTATTTCATTTCAAATTCCAATTTTAAAAAGACCAAGCACTTTTCAAAGAAAAGTGAAATTTTTCCTTTACCATTAGGTGGCGCTCTCAGTTCTCTTTCCACGCTTTCTACCCTTTCTTTTAGCTTTTCCCCTTTTTAAAGCTTTTATTAATTTCACTAATTCCAATTACTAGCTATTATTTCTTTTTAACATGTTCAATTCCAGCATTTAATTATGCCAATTTAGTGCCAAAATCCAGATAATTATCTAGTTTAATTTCTAAGTCTTTTATAATCAAATGTTTTCCTCTGAATTTTCCACCTCCAAATTAATTATTTACAAAACCCAAAGCGAATTTCACAAGTATCCAATTTTCTTTTCTCTCTCTCTGGTCACTACTTCTACAATCTTTCATAAAAAATTATTTGTTTCTTAATTCCGGGGTACCTTTTAATGTCCACAGATTTCATCTGGTTCACACACCGCTCACAGCTTCACCTCTCCAGCACAGTCTTAGTTTCCTGGACTGCCTCCGATCTTCATGGTGGCCATTTTAGACCACTGCTGCAACTCATTTTCAGAGGAGGTTTACCTTGTCGGGAAGGGGAGATGCAACTCCCCTCAACCCTCAGGCAACCCCCCTTTCTTCACCACCCCTACAGGGCGGTTCTGGTCTCAATTGGGACCTTCCAACGAGTGAGCACAGAGTGAAACCATGCACAATTGCAGATTCTGCTCCAACGTGACAAGAGCACAACTGGAAGTCTCTGATTTAAATATGATCAAAGGGATGGACATTGGAGGGGCAGGGCATAATTTCAGAAGGCAGAAACTGGGACAGAAAAGATCTGTTTCTTGTGTCCCAACAAGGAATTTAGTAAGCAATGAACCAAAGCATGCCATTTGTGAAACAGCTATTAAAAAACTCATATATTATGCTATGAAAGTTTTACAAGTAGAAACCAGCATCTTGAATTGCTTCTAGAAACCTAATGAAGTTATATCTATAACATTTGCATCTGTATTTATTTGTAATCTATTTAATCAATGCAAGGATGGGAAACCTTGATAGTTTACATAATATTTAATTATAACTTTTGCAAATATTTTTTCATGACTGTTAACTATATACTGTTAAAGCTGATTAGGTTTTGTCCAATAATATTTGCAGAATACCAACAGCTTTTAGACTTGACAATAATAAAGGAACTAGCAGTCAAGAAATATGTGATACTTGATAAAGTAGAAATGAAGATCTTGGAAAAGATATTCAGATGTTGTAATGAGACTATATGCATTTTTGCTATGACATTATATGAGAATGAAAGTCGAACTTTGAAGAAGCTATATTGATATTTTTCAACTTTGATACTGAAGAACTCTCCTGAAGATATCATAGATTGCCAAGAAAACAAATTAATGGATCATTGAACAAATCAACACAGAGTACTCATTAGAGGCACAAATAACCAGACTCTAATTATCTCACTTTGAACATATTATGTACATCATGCATGCCTGGGTCTCTAGAGAAAGTTGTATATTGCTGGGAAAGGTAGAAGGAAACAGAAGAAGAAAATGACATGAACAGGGAAAGGTGGATGGATAGCATTGTAGCAGCAGTTAGGTGCCCAGTCAAAAAATCTTGTAAGATCAGGTTGGAGATAGATCATTCTGGAGAAAATGTATGTGCTCACTAAGAATCAACACCAATGTGCTAACATACAATCATTATTGGTGTTTGGGGAATCTCAGATTTCTTATATTTGATCTGGTGCTATGTGAAAAACAAGAGCTTTTCTTTTTTTTATCTCCAAAAAGGAAACTGGACTGTTTTTTTCCTTGAAGAAGAACAAGAAAACATTTCACTTCTTACCCAAGAAGCTTCATCAGTTGTGATGGGGGGAATGGACGGAAGGATAGGTACAGACAGTTGAGACTGGATGGTGGGGGGAAACAAAACACTTTCTTCTTCCTCAAGGAAAAAATAGTCCAGTTGCCTTTTATCTAAGAAAAAAGCACCTTTGAAGCAACTATGACCTGGATGACTGAAAATCTTGACAGACATACAGCCTTTTTTATAATATATTGATTAGATAGTTTTCAATGAACATGAATAAGAATTTATTCTGCTCATAATTTAATAGGAAAACCCCAATCTCTAGCCTATATGCAAATGTGTTAATGTATGTGTTAAAATATATATTAGTAACGACTGAAATAAAAAATAATCAAAATGTACACATTAACAAAAATTGCATGCAGAAATACCTATTAAAGAAAATTGCTTCCAAAATTAAAATATTAAAGAAAATATTAGAGACTTTAATCATCAGTAATTTAATAAAAATGCAAATTTAACCTCCTGCAATATTCCAGACTTTTACTACCTCTGAATGTAGGATATCAATAGCATTTGTTATATTTGTTTTCCAAGATAGGGGTGTCCAACCCTGGCAAATTTAAGACTTGTGGACTTCAACTCCCAGAATTCCTCAGCCCTGCCCCACCCACTCACTCCTTACCTGGAATGCACGCCATCAAACTTGCCTGCGAAGTTACTATTTTTCCTTTTTTTCCCCCACAGCTGTTCTGCTGTGCCGGGAGATTTAGATTAGCTGGAGAGCAGGAAATTGTTGGGTTTCTTGCTTTCTACCTAATCTAAAAGCAGAGCTGAGCCTGAAGCTTCTATTATTCAGTGCAGACTCAGGTAGCAGATGGAAGAAACACAGATCTCTAAGTGAATCTGTGATTCTGTGAACAACTCAATCTGCCTGCCTGCTTTGCCTGATTTGGGGTAAAAGTTGCTCTTTTTAAATAAAAAAATCAATATTTACATAAATATTTATAATATTTACATACAAGCCAATTTTATGAGTTTGCTTGCAAGCAAATTTTATGTGACAGATTCAGATAGCCGATTGCAGAAAAATAGATCGCTGAATGAATCTGTGATTCTGTGAGCAACCCAATCTGCCTGCCTGATTTTGGGTAAAAGTTGTTCTTTTTTTATAAAAAAAAATCAATATTTACATAAATATTTATAATATTTAGATACAAGCCATGCCCAGCCAGTCACATGCTCAGCCAGTCACATGACCACCAAGCCACTCCCACAAATTAGGCCACACCCACAGAACCGATTGTTAAGAAATTTGAATCCCACCCCTGAAACATGGTAAGAAAAATCGTAAACTGGGGCAAAACTCAACAAATTTCTCACTTAGCAATATAAATTTTGGGGCCAGTTGTGATTGTAAGTTGAGGACTACTTGTATAGATAACATGAACAGGGAAAGGACATGTGTCCTATAATAGCCACTTTTGAACCAGCTAAGGAGGAGATTCTTGCTCTAAGTGCAGTCCTTCAGGAAGCAATCAACAGTTCTTAGCCTGCTTCTTCTTATCCAACGCTGTCTGAGCCTTGAATAGTAAATTCATAGACATGCTTGGATTGCTTCCTGAAGCTCCTATCTGAATGGTCTGGTGTATTTGGTTTTGTATCTGAAGCCTGATGTTTAGTAACCACATTTTTAAAAGCTGCCTATACTGAATGTTTTCTTCAAATAAGTGCCTTTGCTGTTCTGCCTTAGGTAGAAGACTTAAAATACAAACTTGCTTCTCAAGAAGCAGAGCTGCAACTGAGAAATCAAGATACTGAGGCTCTGATTACTAAGATAGGGCTTCAGACTGAGAAAGTGAGCAAGGAAAAGGCCATTGCTGATGCAGAGGAGCAAAAGGTCAGTATAATTCCACAATTTAGTCATGTTGAGCTATATTTAGCACAGAATAAACCTTTGTAGGTGAACAATTTTGAACACCTACCTCTCCAGGGAGCGTAAAATCTAAAGAATTATAATACTTACTCATGTTTCAGCATTTCACACCATGATTACCACTTGACCTTTCTTTACATTATGCATTTTTCCAACCTTTTAGTTCTTTTAATGATATGAAAGAACAATAAGTATGAAGCTCATTCAAGCATATAATGGATGGGGATCTTGAGAATCAGACTAGTGTGCAATACATGAAAGGTCGGAGAGTCATCTCTGAGCACTTCAGATTTTTTTAAAAATTTTAGTTCAATTGAACAGTTCAATTGTTCTTGAAGTTCATTCCATTGACTTGCATCTTCACTTTCAAATTTTGCATTTCATGATGTATTCCAACTGCCAACGTTTTCTGAAAAGATCTGTGATTTGGTGATTTGTGGATAGGGTTAAGTAGCATGCAAAGAAGGGCAAATTGGGAACTGGCTTAATGTCAGACCTGTGGTAAGTGCTTAAATCAAAAGCAAGTTGCTAACCCTGAATTTGGTAGAATTTTTTTAAGCCAAATATACAGAGGTGAAGGTACAAAACATTCAGCAAGTGAGTTATTTTTCAGTTTAGATCCAACATTTAAGCTGAGATTTTCTGAGGTTTTTTCCCTAACACCTTTATGGTCTATCAGACTGAAAGAGGCTCCCTACTGTACTTATAATAGGAAAATATATAGTTGGCTGTTTTGAATTTTTGTCGGTCTGAATACCAACTCTCATATCTAAGATATCATTCCTGTCCCACTTCTGTCCTTTTTGTATTCTATCATATTAATTCTTCTCCATTCTTCTTTTCTCTTTGCCAGTGATTCAATTCAGATTATAAATCTGAGGCTGCCAGACTACATGGTAGGAGCAGATTAGTTAGTCTCTTGTTCTTAATGAGAACAAGAAACTGTGTGATAGATGTCATATTATTTAAAACTGAATAATATTCCCCATGGACTAAACTAAAATCAGTAGGACTGAAACTGTGGAAAACCCTGTTACTGTATAACATCAGATCCCCTACTACAGATTGTTCTGATGATTTTAGGAATGTTAGGGGATGCTACTAGCATATTTCCAAATACTTAATTAAGTAATTAGACTCAATTCATGATGTGATTATCATGAGCTAATTACCATGCTGGGACAGTTTGCAAGAATGAGACTGTTTTTCACGAATCTAAGAAGTAGCTAATATATTTTATTTCATCTTTTAGTTTTTCTAAAATATGTTTATAAATTGACTTTGAACTGATTATATCTTTCTATATAACTTTAATTTGAAGCTACTTTAAAAATGTGCTTAGTTTACACAGATTAATCTGAATGATTTAAACTGGTATAGAATTTCAAAAAAACACACACTTCGCTCAAGACCAGACTTATCCATACTGCAAAGAATCCACTCCCGTGAACCCCGTGCAGAACTCAAAAACCACCTAGACAATGGAGAAAAGGACCTATACATTGACTACAGAGCTGATTGCATCAAAAGAAAGTCACACAACCCACAACTCTACATCCAACCCCATCCCATCCAATCCAACATACCTCAAAACTAGGCACGCACGCCCCTAACTACCTCTATTCCAACCACAACTGGCCTTAAATGCAAGCTACTCAATGCAAGAAGCCTTGTAAATAAAATACCTGACTTTCTCCTCTTACTAAGTATGGCTAAATTCAACTTATATTTCTCTGTGAAACATGGTTCAATGCATCTGTCCCTGACTCCATTACCACAGTAAGAGACTATCATGTTTACCGATCAGATCATGAAATCTGTAGAGGAGATGATGTTGCTATCTTCTGTAACAAGTCCCTACATCTAAAAAACATCCAAGTTACCCAGGAGCTTGCTATTCCTGAGACCATTGTCTGTGAACTGTCCTTAAATATCACATTTTGGTTTTTACTATGTTACAGACCCCCTGATTATGACTTCGAACATGCAAACAAACTAAATACACTACTAACATGGGCAGCATCCTGCCCGCAGGCTTTTATCTTTCTTGGTGACTTCAATCTACCTCATATTAACTGGACCCTTAACGAATGTACAATTGAACCCATATATGCAACCTTCTACAATGCAGTAAAAAATCTGGGCCTGGAACAACTAGTAACCAACAACAGTAGACTTAACAACTGCCTCGATCTTATCTTCTGCATTAGTTTGAATTCAATTTACAGAATACAAATTAAATATCCCTTTTCCAACAGTGACCACAACATGATTGACTTTTGTCTCAACATACATTCACACAAAAATCATCACAATGATAGCATCCTCAACTATAACTTCAAAAAAGGTAACTATGATCTTATAAACAACAATCTCTCATCCCTTGATTGGTAATTTCTATTCTCTGGATGCAATACTGTAGAAGACCATTACAACATATTTTTACTTGAAGTCAAAAGAGTCATCAAACTATATGTACCATTAACAACTCCCAAAACCAGAAAAAAAATTACCTTCAATAAGCTTCAATAAGGAAGCTTCAATCCAAAAAGAAATCACTTTGGTGGAACAACAAATCTGGTCACGTTGCCAACTTCAAAAGCCAATACAAAAAATTATGTACACCAGATAAAAACTGAATGCACCAATTATCACATTAAACAAGAAGAAAACCTTCTACGCACCAATTCCACCCACGCTTTCTACAATTTTGTAAACAACAAACTAAAAGACTCAAGGTCCATTCCACCCCTGAAAGGACCTAATGGTAAAGATTGCAATGATGACACTATTAAAGCCAACCTCTTTAACACATTCTTTGGCTCAGTATTTGTAAACAGCAATGGATCATGCCCAGTATTTCCTAGCAAACCACAGACAACTACAATGATCTAATACATATAAATTTTACAGAAGACAATGTTGAAAAAGCATGATGCAATCTAAAATCATCTCTATCTATTGGACCAGACAGAATATGTGCCTACTTCTTAAAAAAGCTATCCACTGCCATAGCCGAACCTCTAAGCATAATCTTTGAAAAATCTTTCAGGACCAGCTCCTTGCCAAAACTATAGTCACAAGCCACAGTCATCCCCATCTTCAAAAAGGAAGACCCCAGCCTAGTTGAAAATTACAGACCAATCTCTTTATGCTGTGTCACCTGTAAAGTCATGGAATCAATTATTAACCAATCCATCATCCTCCACTTAGAGACAAACAACCTACTCTCTAATAAACAATTTGGTTTCAGGAAAAAACTATCATGTAATCTGCAACTCTTACACTGCAAAAACTTAACTTTACATTACATTACACTGCAAAAACTACACAACTCGATCAGGGCAAAGCAATAGACACAATCTACATAGACTTCTGTAAAGCCTTTGATTCAGTGGTACACGACAAAGTACTACTAAAACTAAAATCTTACGGTATCTCTGGACACCTGCATAACTGGATAGAAGCATTCCTGTCAAACAGACAACAAATGGTCAAAATTGGGAGCGTCCTATCAAATTCTGTACTTGTCAACAGTGGTGTTCCCCAAGGCAGTGTTCTAGGACCAATTCTTTTCCTACTCTACATAAATGACCTCTGTGATTATATCAAGAGCAACTGCATTCTCTTCGCTGATGATGTAAAGCTATTCAACACCACAGACAATACTGCTACCCTTCAAAAAGACCTTGACTATGTATCAGAATGGTCAATCAAATGGCAACTTCAAATATCAACAAATAAATGCTCTGTCCTACATATTGGCAAAAAAAATCAGAAAATAAAATACAAGCTGAATAGTCAAGACCTTGTTGATGATCCAAACTCTGTCAAGGATCTTGGAGTACTCATCTCTAATGACCTAAGTGCTAGGGCCCACTGTAACTACATAGCCAAAAAGGCGTTAAGAGTTGTTAACCTAATCTTACGTAGCTTTTTGTCTGGTAATATTACACTAATAACTAGAGCATACAAAACATTTGCTAGACCAATACTCGAATACAGCTCATCAGTCTGGAACCCACATTAAGTATCTGATATTAACACAGTTGAGAAAGTCCAGAAATATTTCACAAGAAGAGTTCTCCACTCCTCTACTCGTTGCAGAATATCTTATGCCACCAGACTCGAAATTCTAGACCTAGAAAACCTACAACTACGCCGCCTTCGGTCCGATCTAAGTATAGTATATAAAATCATACATTGCAATGTCCTACTGTCAATGAATACTTCAGCTTCAACCATAACAACACGAGCAAACAATAGATACAAACTCAAGGTTAATCGCAACAAACTTGATTGCAGGAAATATGACTTCAGCAACAGAGTGGTCAATGTCTGGAATACTCTACCTGACTCTGTGGTTTCTTCCCCAAACCCAAAAACTTTAACCTTAGACTGTCTACTATTGACCTCACCCCTTTCCTAAGAGGTCTGTAGGGGGCGTGCATAAGCGCACCAACATGCCTACCGTCCCTGTCCTATTGTTTCTTTTATTTTTATTTTTCTTATATGTATCCATGTATTCATAACTATGTTTTTACTTATACCTATTATTTTGTAAGCAATTGGCAAAAATAAATAAATAAATAAAATATTATAAAACAGACATATATATTTTTAACTATAGAGCCATTACTATATAATTTAGTAGCACTAGGCATGCTTTCTTTTTATTTTATGAAATATGCCCATGCATTTTTAGACAGTCTTTCTTCCCTGGTTAATTCAATAAGTTCTTGCTAATGTGCTGAGAAAATGAAAACTGATATATTTTCAACTCTCAATGGTAATAATTCGCAATGTGTATATGTGTGTGTGTGTGTGTGTGCACGGATGCATTCACACACACACATTCACATACACACTCCTCTTAGAACTGGTGGCAGAAGTATCTGAAGATTGAACCACTAGTAATTCCCTTTTTGCTTCAGTATTAAAGGTCAATCATATCATGCAATTGCTCTTCAGTTGCTTTTGCTATAACTATTTTTCCAGTTAAGGCACCCCAAGGAGATACTCCAGGAATTATACAGGTGAGTGGAGACAAGAGTGGGAATCTGGATCCAGGAGATCGAGCTATTCCTGCATTCATGATGTTTTGAAAAGTATATTTGAAGACTGGCAGCGTCAAGTACAGGTAGTCCTCGACTTATGACCACAGCTGTATCCAACGTTTCTATTGCTAAGTAAGACACTGTCCATTTTATAACCTTTCTTGCCACAGTTGTTGAATGAATCCTGGCAGTTGTTAAGTTAGTAACATGGTTGTTAAATAAATCTGACTTCCTCATTGACTTTGCTTGTCAAAATGTTGCAAAAAGTCATGACCCTGGAACACTGCAACCATCATAAATATAAGTCATTTGCCAAGTGTCTGAATTTGGATTACATAACCAGGGGGATGTTGCAATGGTCTTAAGTGTGAAAAATGGTGATAAATCATTTTTTTCAGTGCCATTGTAATTTTAAATGGTCACTAAATTAACTGTTGTAATTTGAGGACTACTTGTACTGTATATTCATTTAAAGTAGCCATTCCAGCTTGATTCCTTCCAGATGAATGGAAGTACAAATTCATAAATTCCCAGAACTTCACACTTGCATGGGAATTGAGTATTCTAACTAGAAATCCTGCATATATAATCCTACATATTTAGAGAGCATTAGTTTGGAAAAGTTTTATTTACATATTCCAAAAACAATTTATGCTGTTTTATATGATACTTGAACAATATCTTATTAAATATTCTGAAAATTCATGTAGAATATTCAGTTAAAACTAAGTATCTGTGTTGCTATAGGTGGTTGCAATTCAAGTGGAAGTATCTAGGAGACAGAAGGAATGTGAAGATGATTTAATGAAAGCTGAACCTGCTCTGGTAGCTGCTTCTGCAGCTTTAAATACCCTTAATAAGGTAAATATAAAGCATTGCATGATTATTTTTTCTGCGTGACAAGTTGTTAGAGAGGGACTTGAAGTTGGTTCTCTCAATCACACCTTAATTTTAATAACAGTTTTCTGTTCCGGTATGGTGAACAAGTCTCTCTTTTTTATGGCTTCACTTGTTTACTTAAACTTACCTTACTATTGGAAGAAGTTAGTCTACCCTGTTTGTTAAAAGTTGCATTGACTTTTGATATACTTATGTCTGTTTTTTTGTTTTCAGGTGAACCTTTCTGAACTGAAAGCTTTCCCTAATCCACCAGATGCGGTGACCAATGTCACAGCTGCAGTCATGGTCCTTTTGGCAAATAAAGGAAAAGTACCAAAAGATCGAACGTGGAAGGCTGCTAAACTTTTCATGGGAAAGGTATTTGCAACATTGGCATTTGCTAAAATGTATTTTTCATACTTTTTCAGGGCATAGAACTTGTTCATTAAAAACAAAAATTCCCTGAGCCTCTGATGAAAAGGGATGAAGCTTTTGAAAGGCAGCTTAAAATCCTTGTCGTTTCCACTCTAGCAAAAATTGCTATCAACATCCTGAAGAACAGTACTGATGTGTGAATAGATGACTAAGTGCCTGTGAATTTTCCAACCCACATCCATCACTTTAATCCATTGTGAGGGTTTTTTCCCCTTTAGTCACAGAAGATTGCTTGAAGAACAATCAAAGAAGATTGCTTGAAAAACCCTGAACTAATTATTTGACATTTTAAAATAAAATATTTAATAATTTAAAAGATATCCTATACTTAAATATTTTGTGATTCTAAGTCGTCTTTTACAGCAAGTCTGCACAACCTGAAATGGCAAAGGGCCACCTTGTTCAATTAAAAATTGTCACAGGCTAAGTCCATTGCCCAGCTGTTGGCGCTAGCTGTTGATGGCACCACCACAAGAGCTAATGGCAGCAGTGAGGCTTGGAGGTGTTTACAAATGTTTCTTTTGGAGCAGCAAATTTATTTACTATTTTAAAAATGTAGAAAGCTTGCAGACAGGTTATGCACACTTGTTCTATGTGTGTCTTCTGACAGTATTTGGTTTAATGGCAAGTAACAATAGTAGGATAAAGATCGTTAGCAATTTTCATTGGCAATTTTGCCAAGCAGATCAGGAGTATTTTTAAAACGTGTTTTTGTACTAGTTTAAGCAGATTATATATAGAGAGAGGTTATCTATATATATAGCAATTTCTGTTTTCTTTTTTAAAAAAAACAAACCTAAAAATCTTTCCATAAAATAAAGATGAAGCAAAAATATTGGTATTGGTAAAAAGGTTTAATTCAGTTAATTTCTTCCATAATTAGGAAGTACTTCTAGATTGCAGATGGATCAGCTTCAAATATACTACATAACCCAATGTTTCGTATATATTTATTTTGTGATTTTCTAGGCTCTCTTCATTATTTGTTTGGATTTTTAAATTGTGGAATCAGCTTGTGAACTTGCAGTGTTGTTTAATGATAACTAGTTAGGTGCTTTAATTGCTACCTTCCAGGTTGATGAATTCTTGCAAGCCTTAATTAACTACGATAAAGAACATATCCCAGAGAATTGTTTGAAAGTGTTGAAGGAACATTATTTGAAAGATTCAGAATTCAGTCCAAATCTCGTTCGTAACAAATCATTTGCAGCGGCTGGTCTTTGTGCCTGGGTTATCAACATAGTAAAATTCTATGAGGTATACCTTTTGATTTAGCTGGGCTTACAATATAATATTTAAATATGCTATAATTCATAATAGAAGTATTGCCAGCAGAGATAAAATAAAATATTGTATGCACATTATTAAAGATGCATATTGATTTTATTGTTATTATTAGTCACTACTGTTATAACATAGATATCTTATTTGCCTGAAAAGAATATATTTCCAAATTAAAATGTAGTGTATAGAAAAATTTTTAAAAATAGAGAGAAAACAATTTAAAAAATAGATAAAGCATATATTTGTGTGAGATATATTTTTGTGTAATATATATTTGTATATGTGAACATCTGGATGTATTCACACACAGAGACAGACACATATGTACAAACAGATATACATACCAAAACCACATTCACCAAATCCACTAAGAGATTCAAAAGGACCTGACATTTCAGGTCTTCTTCCCATTCTTAGGTTTTTTTAGAAACAGAGTGAGTATGTTTGACTATTGCGTAAAGATGGTATCTATTTTAAATTACAATTTAGAGAATCATCCTAAACTGTATAACTCCATATTTTTTTATTTAAAGCTGAGTAAATCAGTGGTTTTCTTCCATTAATGGACACTTCTTTTCAGCAAAACTAACATGATTACTCCTTTCCTTCCATACAACATCCTGTTCTTCCTCCAAAGTGGATCTAAATTATTTCCTAATTATCTGCAAAAGATCCTGACAGGATGAAAAGAATTACTACCTTTCACTTTTATGATAGAAAAATATGGTCTAGTCCAGGGCTGTCAAATTTGTAACCTGCAGACCGGATGTGTCACATGCTGGCCACGCCCATACCCGATTTAGCAAAGTGGGGGAAAGTCCCAATACATCACATTATGCTGCCATGATGATGCAAGTTTGACACCCCTGGTCTAGCCTCAGCTGATGTTAAGATGGTTAGGATGGCATCACCATAGAAGTTCAATATCTTTTGGATCACTGTTTCCTAGGAAGATTTGTAGTTGTCTTTTAAGCAACGGAAGGAAGATCTGCAGGTTATTATTGTGGGAGGGAGCAGAATAGATGGGTGGTAGAGTGAAGCGTGGCCAAAAGGACTGAGATGGAGAAGATGCGGGAAGCTGAAATATATGCTGTTGCCATAAATGCAAGCAAGCTGCCAAGCACCTGAATTTATAAACAGAAAAATATAATTTGATTCTTGAATGCATGAATGCAGTATCAGACCATAGGGTCATCTATGTTAGTCTTAGACATCCTTGACTAGAAGCAGTGTTTCAAGCCCTCTAGATATTCTCCAGTGGCATTTGAAGACTCGGGGGTTGGTATCTGAGCGTCCTGCATACAAATTATTTGCTCTGAATTTTAACCGTGGAGGGGGAGCTGCAATGGCTGTAAGGACCAAACACAAATATCATTTCTTCCATGCTGCTGTAATATTAAACAGTCGCTGAATTAATGGTCATTAAGCAAGGTATATTTGCACTTGCTAAGCAAGCTGCTAAAATCTTGAATAATACCATGCTTCCCTCTCACTGTTGCTATTAACAAAACATGATTACTGATTTTACATATGTAGATGTTGTTGTCTACATTCATTGCTCATACTTGTAATGTGTGAGTAAATTATTTCCAGTTACACTGAAATATACTACCTAATAGTAAATGTGAATGAATTTTTAATCTTAAATACACAAATAAGAACAGTATCTAAGTTTGGCTAACTAATGCTCCAGAAAAATATATCTATACTACACTATGATTTAGAAACCAGCTGTAATACATTACTGGAAAACACAAGAAATTAAAAAGCATTATTGTAATTCACTGAACTTGTTAGCCTTCCAGTGAATTATAAAATTTTATAAACAGCAGTTTTAAAACTCCAGAAATAAATTCCCCACAAATGTGGCATCAAAAAATTACTTGGAAAGTATGAGAGTATCTACCATGTTATTTTATGTTATTTTCTGAATTTATTTTTCTGAATGTATAGTTTATGCTATTTTTCTGAATATCTGGTTATATATTTGTAACCAAGATTTATCTTTTCTAAGAGTTCTTTCTTATGACTGAAGGACATTCATAAATCTTGAAAATCTTGAAAAGAAGCAATCCACTTCATATGAAATATTGTCTAATGAGCTATGTGTAAATACTATTTTTCCCTTTAAAACAGTAATATATTTCTGTTTTATAAATCATTTTCTAAAAGTATTGTGGACTGCTTGTTTTCCTAGGTATATTGCGATGTGGAGCCCAAACGTCAAGCATTGACCCAAGCAAATGCTGAACTTGCAGCAGCCACTGAAAAGCTGGAAGCCATCAGAAAAAAACTTGCTGTAAGTGTCCAGTCCCAGCATCATTCCATTCCTAAGAAAACATAATATTTTTATTTCTTCTTGTAATAATGATAAGTGATTTGTGTAAAATAGAAAATATCTTATTGCCTTATATTTTTAGATAACAATTGTTATTGTGATGTTAAAGACAAGAGGTGGCTGAATTTGACATTTTGCCTTTTTCCATGGACTAGCTACATATGATCCATCCAGAAGTGGTATTCAGCAAGTTCTGACCAGTAGAGAACCAGTAGCGGAAATTTTGAGTAGTTTGGAGAACCGGCAAATACCACCTCTGACGAGATTTTACAGTCTCCTTCCCCTGACATGCCCACCAAGCCACGCCCACAGAACCGGTAGTAAAAAAAATTGAATCCCACCAATGGATCTATCCTTTTGGTAAAATAAATACAAGCTATTTTGATTAGTTCCTAGCTATAATTATACTCTAAATTATTCTGAAATGTATTAGTATAAAGGTTAAGGTTTCCCCTGTCCTGTCATTTCCAAAGGGGTGATTTCCACTTCTTAGCTTTGGAAGCCAGAATTGTCTGAAGACATTTCTACTGTCATGTCGCCAGCATGGCTATGCACTGAACCTCACGGAATGCTGTTATCTTCCCACCAAAGTGGTACTTATTTATCCATTTGCATGCTTTTCAATGGCTACATGAGCAGGAACACAGGCAAATAATGGGAAGTCACCCCAGCATCAGGTCTCAAATCCAGGCTATTAGCTGGAAAATTGATAAGCACAGCATCTTTAATCTCCGAGTCATCACACCTGAGGTATTAATATACCTGGATTAGATTTCTAAGATCCTCTTCTTCCTTACCCCCTATTTGATTAGTGCTCATGGTATATGGCACACACTATAAAAAGCTTGATTTTTTTCTTAACAGCAGTCTTAATATTCTTAACAACTATGTTAAAACACCAACAATCCTATGCAGTTACTTTGCTTTTGGACAGTACATTTATCCCACGCTTTGATCCTTTTGCTCACTGGGTTTTTGTTGTCAGTGTGTCTACATTATGCACGTATTCTAGATCTTGAATTTCTTTAAAAATATTGATAGTCAACCCCATCTCATGGATTTCCAATGGAATGTTTTCCTGTAACCTAGTTCTTTCCTTAGGGAAAATGTACTAATTTTTCATGCAGAAGTTATTTTTCTGGCTGGTAATTTTCTGTAATGATTAATAAATGTTGCAGCTATTACTTGGCAATCAATAATACATCATCGGTTTCAAGATATTGTGCTAACAACCCATCATTTTTAATGCCCACTAAAATACACTTCAAAATGACTAATTTAATCCTTGTCAGTACAAAATGAATATTATAGTAACAATTTTAAAATACATTTTCTAAGTTTATCCATGAAAATAGTTTGCATTGTTAAAACTATGAGAAATATTTCAATTTTAATATATAAACAAGGTTTCTCTTGATGTAATCAAAAGATATTCATTTGCTTAAAAATAGGCAGATAAACTAAGTTTCCTAAATACTAGCTGAGGAGAATTTCCTTTGCAACTGCCTTCTGTCATGATTCATGTTCTGATTTATAAAGAACAAGATTTTGCTATTAAAAATATATTTGATAATTCAAGAGTATAAATTACTTTCTAGCCTTAAATATATTTATTATAATAATCTTAAAATAATACCCTTTAAAATTCATAATTCCTCTACTTTTATCATTTTATTTCACTATGATAAAATGGGTTAAAAGTCATATTAACTTTTTTTTAAATAGGCACCAAACAGAAAAGGAGAAATGAACAAATATAAGGGGAAGTTAATGTCTAATCCTGTAACCATACTGAGTAAAACAGACTAAATCTGTGAAAATTATCAAAAAAGATAATTTTGGATTTGCTCATGGATACAGTTTTAATAACTTTATTTCATATAATTGAATAAATAGCCTTTAAATCATTTCTTGGCCCATTATCTTATTAAAATAAACACTTATGCACTAGTATAAATTAACAATAAAGTTGTAACTTCTTGAATAAAAATATTTTTGGGGTCCTCTCCAGGTATTAAGAGAATTTTGTCATAAGAAGTGAAGATTTTTTTAAGGCTACCACAGTCAGACAGTAACATATTAATGGAAGCCAACCATATCAGCAACCATCCCAGCTAGAGAGAAAAAAACACAACAGAAAACATAAGATTGAGAGAAAGGTTACTCAAATTCAAATTCAAAAACTGGTAGAAAGAAGTAGCAGTGGTGAGACAGGTCTTGAAATACCTGTAGGAGATGGGTAATAGTTTATGAACTTAAAGGAAGATAGGAAGCATGTTAATGGTACTAGCCATTACCTTCTGTTGCAAAAACCAAGACATGCAAGCAAGAATTAACCAAAACTGATCAGAAAGGATCATGCCAGAGTGACCAAACGTGACAAGTGAGAGTGGGTTAAAGAAAGGATCAAGTTTGAGCAGGTCAAGATCAGATACAACACGTGATCAAGAAAGGAAAACCAGAATAGTCCATGCCAAAGGGCTATCACCACAAAGCCAAAGCCAGGAGAACCAGAGCTTCATGTTATGTAACAAGAGCTAGAACAGATAGTCCTTTACTTATAATAGTTCATTTAGTTACCATTTGAAGTTACAATGGCACTGAAAAAAGTGACATATGACCATTTTTCACACATGATTGTTGCAGCATGGTCATGTGATTTACATTTGGAAACTTGACAACTGACTTACATTTATGACAGTTACATTGTCCGGGGGTCATGTGATCCCTTTTGCGACCTTCTGACAAGCAAAGTCAATGGGAAACCAGATTCACTTATGAATCATGTTACTAATTTAAGAACTGCAGTGATTCATTTAACATATATTACGAGAAAAGTTGTAAAATGGGGCAAAACTCACATAACAAATTTGTCATTTAATGACATAAATTTTGGGCTCAATTGTAGTTGTAAGGTGAAGCTATGTATTAGAAGATATGGCATTGAGCATGATGTCAAGCAATGCCCCAATCAATCCAATCAATCTTGACCGTAAAGCAATAGGCACAATTTAGATAGACTTCTGCAAAGCTTTGATCAGTAATGCATGACAAACTACTTCTGAAACTTACTTCTTAGGGCATCTCTGATCCCTGCACAAGTGGATAGCCACATTCCTGTCAAACAGGCAATAAATAGTCAAAATAGGGAGGGCCCTATCAAATCCAGCACCAGTTAACAGCGGTGTCCCCCAAAACAGTGTTTTAAGATCCACACTCTTTCTGCTTTACATCAACGACCTATGTGATCATATTAAAAGCAGCTGCATCCTCTTCGGCGATGACGTAAAATTATTTAACATCACTGACAATGCTGCTGCACTACAAAGTGACCTTCACTATGTGTCAGAATGGTCACGTAATTGGCAACTCCAAATTTCAACTAATAAACTAATACTCTGTCCTACGCATTGGAAATAAAAATCAGAACACCAAATACAAGTTGAGCAGAAACAATCTTTATTTATTTATTTATTTATTTGATTTGCCAATTGTTTACAAGATAATAAGTATAAGTGTATACATAGTTGTGAATACATGAAATGGGTACATATAAGAAAAATAAAAGAAGAATAAGAGAAACAATAGGACAGGGACGGTAGGCACGTTGGTGCGCTTATGCACGCCCCCTTGTAGACAACCCTCACTTTGTCAAGGACCTAGAAGTACTCATTTCAAATGATCTAAGCCCCAGAGCTCACTGTAACAGAATTGCCAAAAAAGCATTAAGAGTTGTTAACCTTATTTTGAGAAGCTTCTTCTCTGGTAACATTGAATTGCTAACTAGGACATACAAAACCTTTGCCTACCAATTCTTGAATACAGCTCATCTGCCTGGAACCCACACTGTATATCGGACATTAATACGATTGAGCAGGTTCACTGGCATTTCTCGAGAAGAGTACTCCGCTCCTCTACTCACAATAGAATCCCTATGCCTCCAGGCTTGAAACTTTGGGCTTGGACGATCTGGAACTGCGCCACCTGCAGTCTGATCTAAGCATAGTACACAAAGTACTCTGCTACAATGTCTTGCCTATCAACAACTTCTTCAGCTTCAACCACAATAATACACAGGCAAACAATTGATACAAACTCAAGGTAAACTGCTTCAAACTCGATTGCAGAAAATATGACTTCGGCAACAGAGTCTTCAATGCCTGGAATGCTCTACCCGACTCCGATGTTACAGCCTCAACCCCTCACAGCTTCAATCTCAAAGTATCTATCATGGACCTCACCCCATTCTTAAGAGCTCTTTAAAGGGAGCGTGCATAAGCACACCAGTGTGCCTACCGTCCCTGTCTTACTGCCCCTATTTATTTCCTTTGTTCATGTTTATGTTTATGTTATACTTGTTTTCTTGTACATGTTTAACAAACAAACAAATTATTAATCCCAGCACTACAATAGTCATATCTAACTGAAATAGTAGGCAGTAGAGATCAACTCAGCAATAAAGATAGCCAAAGGATAGTTGGTGTGTCTAGACTTGGACTGGGATCACAATAAATAGAATTAAGATAGAACTTAAAATTGAAAGAGAATGTTGTGTAGAGATTAAGAATTAAAATCTAAGAATATAAAAAAATTACAGAGAGAAAGTAGAAAATATTATGCTTCAATTAGGAAAGGGAAGAGGTATCTCCATGTTAGTTTTCTTACCATACATTGCATTCAGGATTTGATCATAGTTCATTAAACAATATAGGTTCACAGTTAATATTCCACATTGTTGTTCTCCAATTAAAATCTGTCAGAGGAGTTGGTGGAATTTTACTCTGTAGAGTGGGACATCATTACAATCAATACTATAAACAAATTTGAACCAAATTTACTTTATTATCCAGAAGAATTTCGTGCATCTGGCTTGCAAGGCCTTATAGCAGTTTCAGTTTTCCCCTATATTATAATACTGTCTTATTTTCCTCTAATTGTTTTCTGAACTATTATTTAATAATGTCCAGAATTTTTTTGAGATCCTGACATTGGCTAAGCTCTCTAAGTTACTTATAATAGAGCAAAATACAACTAATGCCTGGCTCAGATGGAATGGTTTGAAAAAAATATAGTTTTCAATAATTTTACATTCTTGGCAAGTAAAAAGTCTGTATATTTTATTCACAGTTTTTTTCTCTCTTTGCAAAAGATTTAGAGTATTAAATAAATGTATTGAAAATTCTCAATTAAAAAAAATCTTGTGAGTGAAAAAAATTCAATGTAATACAATTTTTTTAATAACACAACTTTGTCTCTTAAAGTAATCTCTTCTAGGAAATGATCTTAATTTTCCACATATATTCTCTTTGCTGAATATGCCATAAAGCCAATAGAGAATGGTCAATTATTCCATTTTACTTGGGGCCTACAGTAGGCTATTTTACTGTATTTCTAATCATCAAGTTAATGCTGATGTCTCAGCCATTTATGTTCAAGAACTTTAAGCCAAGGCACTTAATTGCTTTGAAGCAATGGAAGAACTATGAGCTTACATTCCAAATTCCATGAACGATTTTTGCAAAATTAATATTTTGTGTAAACAACCATTTGTACAAAATTATCCACAAATATTTTCCCTCATTGGTTGAATTCTATGGATTTCAAGAATGAAAGAATGAGATTATGGTGATAGGCCAGAAAATGAGCAAGGAGAAGAAACAAGGAACCAATAATAAATTCAGACATTTGATGGCAGTTGTGATGTGCAGTACTGATGAGTTATCATATATGAAAATATGAAATAAAACACAATTAATCCATTTCCAATTTTAAAGGAACTGGACCACAATCTATGTAAGCTCACATCATCATTTGAAAAAGCAACAGCAGAAAAAGTCAGATGCCAAGAAGAAGTTAGCCAAACCAATAAGACTATAGAGCTAGCCAACAGACTTGTTAAAGGACTTCAGGCAAGTCAATGTTTCATTCATTCTCTGGTATATATGTGCCTGTGCATTGTGATCCATGTTGCTTAAACATGCTTATCTGTTTAGTTTCTAAAGGTATAGTGGTTTTCCTATTGACAGTTTTCTAATACTTTCTAAGCACTTTGAAATGGGTTAAATATAGTTATAGCATCCACAGTTGTCATTTTATGTGCTTTATTTGCCTAAGAGATAACATTATTCTCCACAGAGTCACCTATAAACATATATCTAAACCAATCTTCAAACTTTGGATGCATCTGCAGTAGAAAACCTGATTCAGTGCTAATCTATTAATCTAATCAGTTCATTACTTTTAATGCCAGTGGTTTGGAAACCCAGCCATCATCAGCTGTAATTATGTTGGAATGGCCATTGGTTCTACCATTTGCAAAGTAATCTGCCACTAATGCTGGGAAATTCTATTGTCTACCTGCAGTTAAAAATGTGCAAGGCTAAACAATGTTCTTTAGAACCAAGCCTTACGCAATGTTTGACCACTTTTACTTTACAGTCAATAACAGCAATCAGTAGAGCCTGAAATACAGAAGAGCAAATCAATTCCATGTCCTTAATTATATGTGGAGAATATTTCCCATTTCACATGCATATCTCTCTATAGAAGATCAGAAGCCTTTTATATGTCAGAAGATATTTAGTCATATTCACAATAACTTTTGCTATGCAAAAGTTTGGAGTTAGATATTCATCACAGTAAAACATATATAGGTGTTATTACAGATTTTCAATTCATTTATAATTACTATGTTTGGCTGCTAGCCAAAACAGTTTTTCAACTAGCTGTAATACCTGGAAGTTCCAATCTCCATTCTGCTTGCTTACTTTAAAAGAAAAAGAAAAAACATCCAGGATTTGAAAGGAAAATTATATTTATTTCTCAATAGGCACCTCTGAATTAATTGGTAGTGGACGCTATCCTGATGAAACAAAATATATTCACTCTGTTCTATCTTATGTAATGCATATATGTCAGGTGGATGACTTTGCATCACTTTAAAAAAAAAGTAGGTTGAATTTAAACTCTTATTTATCAGATCTGTATATAGACCTGAACACTTTCTGACAGCATAGTCAGTCTCTGGGTAAATAAACACTGAGGCTCAGTTCACAACTATTCACATACAATATATTTAACCTTTGGATTGGCATAAAAGCTATTAATTTTCCACCAAGAACAGAATGCATGTCTAACAAACATATTGATATGATATTTAGTGTTTTAATTACTTCTGTTGTAGGAAAACAATGTTATATCAAATAGATGATTATTTAATACCCAATTTCTAGGCAACACACAGTGTATATTAAATAAACATAAATCCATTTTAAAAAATGATTTTAAAAAAGTTTCTTTTTTGTAATAATATATATACACAATAACATCAAGAAAACTGAAAAGTGGTTTGTGGTTGGGCATGACAATTGGTCCATGTATTTCACTGGACTCCAGTCAGTGGTTATCATTTATTATATATTGATTCAGAGGGAATGAATAATAATGCCGTATACAATAATACAATACTGGTGAAAGATGGGTGTGTAATTGATATAGCTTTTGTTTACAATGATAGGAAAGTTATCTTTACAAAAGCTCTATGGTTTTTTTTGTACAAAATTAGTTAACATTGGAAATATTAAGTTTAATTTAAGCAAGTTAAAATAAACTTAGTTAGAAAAGCCAGTGTGGGCTTAAATTAAAAATAACACAACGTTTATGATGACCTGTTAATTACAAAGCATATCCTCTAGGTAATGTATTTAAATGACAAAATAGTAAATTTTATCATTAGCATGTAGCCTGTGCTTGAAAGGTTCTAGCCAAATAAAAGATAGTTTCATGTCTTTCATTAGGTCCTGTAATGTCTTAAGGCATCCTACAAGCTACTTTTTCTGAGTCTCAGCTATTTATTTTAGCTGATGAAAACATTTATTACACAATAATGGGATTTGTTTTCTCCTGTAGAGTATTGTTCAGTAAGCAAAGAAAAGGGGAAATTAATTGAGAGCACCAACCCTTCCTTGGAGCATTTTTCCCCTTAAACAGGAGATAGTTAACTTCTAACAAGCATCAAGACTGATGATTTTGTCTATATAGAATTGACCTGGAAGCTCAACCATTCAGCCTAATAAATCAGGCAATTTATATTTAATCATTAACTAACTCCCGAGCTGAACAGCTGTTCAAAATTAGAAATGGGTCACCCCGGCCAGGATGATATTACAGGCAATCTATAATGCATTATAATAAAATTATAGTGATTTTTAACTGTCTGGAAATTTATTACACTGCATGTTCCAACTCTTAAACTCTTGTTAGCCAATGTCACTTGTGATTTATGATAGTGGAATAGAACTGTAAAATTACTGAAGATTTTAATAGACAATCATTCTATGTTTAGTAAATCTTCAAATTTCAAAGCTAGTTTGAGAATGAGGTGGGGGGCATTTTATTATTTATGTATTACAAGCCAAGAACAACCAGGGGATAAATGAAAAGTTCCTTGCAAATTAATGAGTTTGTTGCTTGATTTGGTTCAGTTGATGATTTAAGTAAGAAACTGTTATATACTGCAGGAAATAAGAATGCTTCAAAATTAAATAACACACAATTTCAAAAAGTAATGTTTGTCTTTTTAACTTTTGCTTATACCTAGTAGAGTGCTACTTAGATACTGAATTTTAGCCATTTCTTCAGAAACACATTGAATAAATAGTTGCTGTATCATTCAGTTGAACATTATTATCAATTTCTGCATTCAAATTCCCAATCATTGATGGTCTTGAAAATATCACTTTTAGCCTATCTATCTCACAGTGCAAAAACAGCATTAAGAAATTGTGATCATACTTTTCTTTTTTTATTACATTTTTTTTTCTCCAAGAAGCTTAAGGCTTGCCTATTGAAGAAGTTTAAGGTATTCATGTTGTATTATTCACTGCAAAGTAGGCTGAGAAGAATTGACTAGGAATATGATCCTGTTTCTTTCTGATCCATCACATGGACCACAATTTCAGATTGGTAACTTTAGAACAGATTAACTATTCTATCAAATATGTCAAGTGTCACCAAAGCAATGAAGTAATATCTGAGCAGATACTGGTAGATAAAATTCAGATAAACTTTTATTGTTGTATCTTTTGTTGTTATACTATGTTCATAGTACATATTCATAGCATATATTCATATATTCATAGCAAGATCTTTTCTCCCTAATGTCAACATTTATCACCATCTGATATGAAAAAAATCCTGCTTACTGTCCACTATTGTTCAGAAATCAGACTTTCCCATCCTTAAAGTATCATAAGTACTTAGTACTCATAGAACATAGAATGATAGAATGATTGGCAGTCTTTACCTGGAACTTGTCCCTGGAGAAGAGACAACTATCACCTTATTGGAGCCAATAGTCCCCCTGTTGGGGATGCTACAGGATGTTTTCTTGGAAGGGGGCAGGAAGGATGAGATATGCACCTCATTTATATATTCCCACATAGAAGGTGACCCCCTCCTATTACTTGTCTTTCAGTCTGAAAATATTCGTTGGAACCACTCAATTAAAGCCTTTGAAGAACAAGAAATAACTGCATGCGGTGATGTTTTGTTAACAGCTGCTTTTGTTTCTTATGTTGGTCCCTTTACTAAACTTTATCGTCAAGAGCTAGTAGAACATATGTGGCTTCCATTTCTGAAATTGCAAAAAGTAAGTATTTCCAATTTTTGTACTTCCATATCTTGCTGGCATATTTTTAATGAAAATAAATACAAATAATACATGGATATATTACTACCAGCTGTTTTATTTCATTTTTTTCTTGTGGCTTTTGTAAACATTATGCAACAGATTGTGAAAAATTTGAGCAAGAAACAGCAAGATCTTTAAAGAAAAACAACAGATGGAAGAGCTTGTTATTGAACAGCAGTTCAATCTGTGTGCAGAAAGCTCAGGAAAAAAAGTTTCAAAACTTAAAATAGATTCCATGTTAATAACCTTACTCATAAATTAGGACTGAAATTTCCTATTGCAGATTACAGAGGTTTATGTCTTGTATCTAATTCTCATATTAAAATTGTTTACTGAAACCTTTGTGATTCTTGCTTCCTTGATTATGGTTTATTGTACAATGCTTGACATTGCAGAAAAAATATTTTTTTTATTCAAGATTCCTATTCCAACAAGTACAGAGTTAGATCTGGTTGCCATGTTGACTGATGATGCAATGATAGCAACATGGAATAATGAAGGATTACCCAGCGATAATATGTCAATAGAAAATGCTGCTATTCTAACAAACTGTGAACGCTGGCCACTTCTCATAGATCCTCAGCTACAAGCGATTAAATGGATAAAGAATAAATATGGAAGTGATCTTAAAATCATGACTCTAGGAGAGAAGGGGTAAGTACAGATTGTATAACAGCATGATATATTTCCTGCCCACCCAAAGTCATTTAGCACATGTAGAGTACATGTTGAGTGGGTGTTTCAGAAGAGATTAATCTGAATTTATCAAATATGCCTATATTTTAATTATTTTCCAATGTACTGGTACTGTTATATTGGATATCTAACTTGAGCATGAGTCTTTTTGTTTTGTTAGAAGTAAAATCTAGTCCAGTTCTTGTTCCAGATTGGGAGAAAGATGCAGGAAAAATTAATTGGAGGCAGGGTAAAATTGGAAGGGAGATCTCTGTTATTTAGTAGCCAGAAATAACAAGTTGCTAACAAATTACAGTTGAGAATAGATGGGCTTTTATGCAATTTGGGGAGGAGATGTCTGTTCTTGTGTAAGAATATGGCCATTAATATTTTAATAGCTGTTGCCAGATTCCTATGGGCTCCTGTAGGGGTCATAAGTGGTTCTACAGGCAAAAGGGAAAATGCAAATCCTAGGTGTTGTTTGTCTGAACTAATCTTATGAATAGAGTGGCCTGGCTTTATGAATGGATTCAAAATATCCATTCATAAAGCCTAGCCTCTTCTGGCTTCTGCTTGAGATGGTTTTCTTATAGCAGAAAGACTGGAGCTGCTTTCTGCTTTTGTAAAGGACTTTTCTCCTCTTCTCCTTTAGGAGAAATATATTCTGCCTCTTTTAATATTCTGTAGAATATTTTATTCTGGGCTGCGGGAGTTCCCACATCTGTTTTTAACCACTCAGTAAGAATGTTCTAAATTTGCTTTAGGGATTTTCTTTAACTTAACTTTGCAGTTGTTGAAAGTGCCCAAGGTATGTTTCATATAAAGCTATATGATCTGATTGTTTTCAATCTTACATTCAGCTTGAGGAGCAAAATATAGAAAAATTAAGCCAGATAAATTTGGTTTCCTAACAAACTTGGCAAGTGAGACCATAGGAAATGAAAGCATTGTGCAATTAATTCCACTTACATTGATAATGGACATATAGAGTAGAAAAATTATTTATTATTGGGAACAAATTGCTCAATTTATTTCATCTTGAATTGCTCAAAATACCTGGTAGGAAGGAGATTAGTAATGCTTGAAAATTTGCTAGTGCTGTTTTTAGAAATCCTATGGAGAGAATAAATAATTGTGTTCAGTTCTGCTTTTCATAGATTGTCTTGAACAAATCCTTTTCATTATTTTATTTAAGATTTTTGAAAACTATTGAAAGAACTTTGGCTTGTGGAGATGTTGTCCTGATTGAAAACTTGGATGAGAAAATAGACCCTGTGCTTGATCCTTTGCTTGGAAGAAATACCATTAAAAAGGGAAAGTAAGTACTTTTTGAAGAACAAAAAAGTATGCAAGTGGTAATTGTGATTGTCTTTCTTCTGTCAGTAGTGTTTTTAAAACAATGTTATTTTTTTCCCATTACATTTGTTTTTCATTCTAGGTTAAGGTATCATTATAATATATTTATATTAAAGAAAGTATATGGTTAAATGAAAAAAATGAAAAATATCTAGGGCTAATCGAGGAAGAGGAGACAATTGTACAATGAAAGAAGTGAGAAATTAGGGTTTTATATATAAGGCAGATCTGGACATTTTATGGCTCCAGGCCATTTGGTGCTCTCTGTCTGGCCTGTGAGGTTAACTGGAAATTATAAATCAAATATAAATCAGAGTACACCATACAATACAAGTGTATGCTTTTTTTTAAGGGTGATTGCTATTTTTTTCAATTCATATATGTGTCCATGTGCCTATGAACCTTCACAGTAATGCATTGGAGAATAGATATTTACAAGAGATGCTGATCTAGCTGTTAGCCCTTAAAAATTTCAGCTCACATTAAAAATTGGTACAGAGTATTTCAAGACATGGACTTAATAAGTTTTTATTTACTGAAGTCAGAGGTAAAAGTCATGTACTTACTTTGTGCAGTATAGATTGTCATGTAAGGATTACAATTTAGATTGCCACTATGTGAGTAAACTTGCATAGAAATGGTGCACAGCGGGCTTGGGCATCTGATGCTTGCTAGATAAGCTGCAAAACCAACAAGGACTTTTTACCAAGCTTTGCACATCCAGGGATGGAGCATTCAAAACCAGTTATGTGATATCTTGCAAAATTTCAAAAAACAGTAAGCCATTTTTTGATGGAAAGTTTCTCAAAGACAGTTTGGTGGACTCTGTCTAATATGTGCTAAGTGCTAATATGCCTTGAGAAAAAGTAGAATATGAGACAAACCACAATGAAAAAGATTGAGGACATCACAGGAAATCTGAAGCTTCAGCTGCAAAACAAGCAGATAATTTTTACTGTTTCTCCTTGGTTTTGGATGAGAGCAGCAATGTCTGTGACGCAGCCAGTTACTCATCTTTGTACGTGGGATAATGAAGGACTTTAAGATTATGGAGGAATCTTAAATGCCTTCAATGAAAGGGATGATAACAGCAAGTGATTTGTTCATAGACATAAATGCATACTTGGACAAGCTGGGACCGAAATGGGATAAACTGGCAGCATTTACTATAGTTGCTGGTCCAAATCTGATGAGGAAAAATGTCAAACTTTTGAACCAGATGTAGAATAAAATGACTGAAATGAACCCTGAACAGAAATTGGTGTTTTTACATTACATTGTATATCAAGAGATGTTGTACCTAAAATAGTTAACTTTATCAGGGCAAGAACATAGAGTCACAGACAGTTTGTTGCACTTCTGCAGGATCATGAGACTGGTTCAGCCTGGGCAAAAAAATGCTTAAAATATTACAGGGTGTGAGAGTAGAGATTCAAAAGTTATGTGAGAAGAAAGGGAATGATATCCCAGAGCTCTTAGATGCAGACTGGATGGCAGATTTTGAATTTGCTGTTGATGTGACTGTACTAATGAAGGAACTAAATACCATACTGCAAATGCAAGGATCTTTTTGTACATGAAATGCATAGCTTGATGAAGGCTTCCACTAGAAGGTTGTAGTTTCTTTCAAACCAAATGGAGGACACCAACACTAAAGGAAGCCACTTCTGCAGGTACTTACACACGCTAGGTGCATTGCTTGGTGAGTTTTCACGGCAATTTCAAGACTTCAAAACATTTGAGAATGAAATGCACTTGATTTTCTTTCTCCCTTTACCTGCAGTGTGGATAATTCACCCATTGATGTTCAGCTGGAACTCACTGATTTACAATCTGATATTTCACAAGAAGAGTTCTCCACTCTTCTACTCATTGTAGAATACCTTATGCCACCAGACTTGAAATTCTAAAACTAGAAAACCTTGAATTACGCCGTCTTCGGTCTGACTTAAGCATGGTATATAAAATCATACATTGCAATGTCCTACCTGTCAATGAATACTTCAGCTTCAACCATAACAACACAAGAGCACACAATAGATACAAACTCAAGGTTAATCGCACCAAACTTGATTGCAGGAAATACGACTTCAGCAATAGAGTGGTCAATGTCTGGAATACTCTACCCGACTCTGTAGTCTCTTCCCCAAACCCCAAAAACTTTAACCTTAGACTGTCTACTATTGACCTCACCCCTTTCCTAAGAGGTCTGTAGGGGGCGTGCATAAGCGCACCATCGTGCCTACCGTCCCTGTCCTATTGTTTCTCTTATTCTTTTATTTTTCTTATATGTACCCATTTCATGTATTCACAACTATGTATACACTTATACTTATTATCTTGTAAACAATTGGCAAATCAAATAAATAAATAAATAAATAAATAAATATTGGCAGAGTATTTTAAGTCAGTATCACTGCTGGATTTTTATTCTCCTCTAAAGAGGAGAACTTTCCACACATGAAGATTACTCAGAAGATGTTAGGATCTACTTACATATCAGAAGATGTTTGGATCTTCTTACATATGTGAACAAACATTCTCAGTGGTAAAGTTCAACACATCTAGCTTCAGATCCTCTTTGTCTCCCTCTAATGATCACCTATTAGCTATCCTTCACATATTCACCTCAGACATTGAGCCAAACTTCATTGCACTTGTTCAACCCCAAAACAGACTGGATTTTTCTCACTGAACAAGGAAACAGACCTAAAAAAGTGCATGCATGCACAAAAACACATTGCTTTTTGTATAAAATTAATTAATTGTTGATCTTTAACATATTGCAAAACATACACATTTTCAGCATTGTTTTTCTGAAAGTTAAAAGTATTTATATTACATTAAAATGAAATAGTCATAGAATAGAATAAAACAGAACAGAACAGAATAGAACTCTTTATTGGCCAAGTTGATTGGACACACAAAGAATTGGTAAACAATAAAAACACCAATAATGTTCGGTGTTTTTACTATTTTTTTTACTGCATTTTTATAGCCTTCCAAATATACATTCTTATGAGTAGCTGCTAATCAAAGCAATATAATATACTGCTTTTAGAAGCATCAGGCCTGGGTTTAAGAATAGTTAATCTTGCCAAGGATTAAAAATTCTCCCAGCATCTTCATATGCTGAAACATGGAGTTCTTTACTCATAAGGCATATTCATTTTCATTGAGATATCACCCACACCATCATATAGTACTATTGATGTTATCTATTTCAAGTAATAAATTATAGTGCACTACTACCATATTGCATTGTGTTTATTAAGTGAAATGCTTATGGCCAATGTTAAATTAGAGTTTTCTAAATGTATTGACTGCACCTTGATAGCTTAATGAAAACTATTTTATATATTTTGTCAGACAGTAGTTGGTATAACTTTTAAATATGTATATTATTATACTATTTAATTAAACAATTTATTACTTATTCCAAGGAGCTCAAACTTTCTTCAATAATATGTAATATATATATCCCTGAGATCATTAAGACTCATGAGTAGTGATGTAAACTTAGTAAATTTAATAACTGAGCAGGATTTTTTTATTGTACTCATTCATCTCTGACTGTTCCATTGGGAAAATAAACCAGATTCAAAGAAAATAGAAGTAAAAGTTGCAGTTTCCAACAAAATAAGATATATGCATGCAAAGCATATGCATGTCCATTAAGTTGCACATTCAAAGATTGGGTGACATTAAAAGTAGCAGATTTATTATATTTGCTTTTCTGAAGTAGGATCAATATTTAATGTTGAAGTGATATACTCTCAGTTTGGATATGATGGACAGATACACACCTATTTTTATACAGGTATTGGAAGTGATAAATTGTCATACCAAAAAAGATATTTAATTGTTATAAATACATCTGAGAATTTGTATGAAAAGCTCAACCATATACATAATTATATATAATTATATTTATAGTGGAGTCCAAGCCCATGAAGTACAAGAAATATAATTTATTATCATTTCAAGCAAAGCTTAAGTGTAGATAAGATAATTATTTACTGCAGCACTAGTTGACAATAAATGATTAATGTTTCAAATAGAAATAGTATCTGTATGTGTGTGGATTTTTTTTTTTTGCAACCTGGCACAAAAGAACTTTATTTCATTAATCTAAAGCAAGTATCACAATAAACACAACATCTCTTAAGTGCTGTTTTGCTGCAACAGACTACCCTCATTCTGTCTGTGGAACAAAGCAGTCTTCAATTGTTCCATACTGAAATTCCTTTCATCTCTTCTTTTCAATATAGTCCATGACTAGTTCATCAGTTATTGAATTCACCCTAAGTTCTGAGGCTACAGAGAGCAAAAACATGCAAACCATATTTACAGCATTTTCAGCAGGTTGTACTTTTTGTTTATTTCAGTAATTTTGTTAGTATTTCTTCTACTCACACTCACACTCTCCAATCCTCTTGTAATAAAGAAAGATGCTTATGATAGATTTGATGCAGATCAACAGTTTGAAGTTCATTAATAATTGGAATGTTGCACAGTATGAAGTAATGAATACTAATTACTCCTTTCATGTCTGACAGCACCCTATGGACCAATACATCAGCTCAGACTTTAATTTGGTTCTAGTAATGGTTTTATCAATAGTACATTAATCCTATGTTTGAAAAGATATACAGATGAACCTGACCTACTACAGCTACTGCTGTCATAAAAGGGCCACATACTGACAACAACTAGGTAATTACAAATAATTAGATCTACTGAGCTTCAGACAATCCTAATTTTAAATAAAATATATCTTGTGATATCAATCGACAGAAAGTATTACTGGAAAGATTTATCAGCATATGCACCTTGCAAAGCAAATTTACTGGCTTTGCATATTAGCAAACCTCATGATCTGTGAAGCAACTTCTTAAAATTATATCCTGCCTTTACTTTTTGGAAGTTGTTGTAACATTAAAAATTACGAAGGAAGATCCTGAAATACCAGAATACAGTGTTTTCAGCATCCAGATTGCCATTAATACTAATTAAAGTCTGAAAACATGGAAGCATCTTCAAGCATCTTGACTCAAAGGTGTAGAACCATTATGTTTTTATATAGATAATGTGCATCCTTCAGCATAGGGATTTTGTGGCCAGGCTGCTGCTGTTGTGCTGTTGTGGTTCAGCAGAAGAAAATATAAAAAGTTTTGAGGGAGGAGAACCTCAAATGTGACCCTGGAATGCAGCTGTGCTCTTATGAGGGCAGATGAACAGCCCTGAATGCCAGCCAGGACTATTGTGGGAGGACGGGACAACATTTTGATTGGCCAAGCCTACTGTACAGTATAAATCTTGAAATTTAAAGCTCAGAGGAGGTGAGCACTACCTCAGTTGTTGGGGCTCATGCTCCAGTTTGAGTTGTAAAGGAAATGAGAAAGAGGTAGAGAGAAAAGATCAGGGGTGGGATCCGACCAGTGTAACTACCGGTTCGGTGATTTACAATTTGAAAATTCCTTTGGAAATGCCTTTGGAAAAACTGTTCAGGAAGTTGGTGGCTGGAGAGAGATAGCATGAGCATGTGTAGTTTCCACTTTCTCATTCCAGAGAAGAGTGTAGAGATACCAGCGGGAGCCCTTCCTCCAGAAGAGAAGTAAAAATCCAGATAGAAAGATATACATCACCCCAAAATGAAGGCAGACAGGGGCAGAGGGAACAGGATAAATCAATCTTGATTTTTTTTTTTATCGATTGTTTGATCAATCAAATCAATTGTTTTTGATCAAACATGATCAAGATTAATCAAAGGAACAAAATTAATCAAGGAGAGAAGCAACCTAGAATTAAGGAGAAACTTCCTAACAGTGAGAACAATTGTGGAACAGATTGCCTTCATATCTTGTGGGCGCTTCATCACTAGAGGCTTTTTAAGAAGAGGCTGGACAAGGAGTGAATCCTTTTGGGCAAGAGGTTTCACTAGAAGACCTCAAAGTCCCTTCCATCTCTATTCTGTATTGCGTATTGAGATGTCTGCAAACTCCAGACAGGAAGGACTAGACAGAAAACCCAGCTAGAAGCGTCACACAAAATCTATGCAGAAGGACAACATATAAAGTCTGAAAAAGCAGAATGAAAGCTTTAAGCATAGCCCAAAGGAACTCAGTCAATTCCCTCCCTATCTCTCTTTCATAGTGAAACATGAGAGGGATGGAGGAAGAGAAAGGGGCGAATTGGTAGCTAAGCAACAGAGTTGGTGATTGCCAGAAAATAGCCCTGGGAGTTGGATGAAGTTAGAGGAAGAAAGTTTGGACAATGCTATAAATAGTGTGTGTGTGTGGGGGGGGGTGTTTTCCACTCTTCCTCTAAATCGGCTTATATGTAATCAAATAAACAAAGGAGGCTCTACTGTCTCTGTGAAGCAATTGTCATCCTTAAATACACTAGTATAACTCTAAAAGAGCTTCAGTCATGCTGTGGCAACCACAAATTGCCAGGTAGAAAAATGCATTCTCACTCTCAATACTGCTTTATCTGTGTTCTTGCTGAAGCTTTACTGACAAATACATTAGGAGTATTTTAACCATCATGTAAGTCCTCCAGGTCTCAGATATATTGTCATATGATGGAGCCAACCAGAAATATATTATGAATTACATCAAACATAGAGCCAGCCCTGCCCATATCTTTACAACATGCCTATAAACTATAAAGTGCCCAATCCACTTTTAGGAACTTTAAGCCAATTATAATTTGCAGTATATACCAAAATTACTTGCTTGGGTGTTGAAAGTAAGTTTCAACTTTCTATGTATGCTTTGGTGAAAGAAATCATTACATATAGTGATCAGGAGACTCTTCAAATCAAATTGGTGTGCAGATTGCCATATCAAGCATGCCTTATACTCCAAATGAGCAATATTGAAAACTGTTTTGTTCTGACTATCATTAAATACCATTTTTATCTAGCTGAGATAATTTGGGAGGGGGTCATTTCATGCAAGATAATGCAGTAAAGTGTTACCGTTTACTTTCAAACCTAGTGCAAATGTGTTCATCTTTTAGTTTAACAGTTTAGCTTTTATCTTTCTCCACTGGTTTGATAAACTTATAGCTTCTGCCTGCTGTGATTGAAAGTAACAAATTCTTTCTACACCTGATCCATTACAACTCATCCTCTGCATTATCAGAGGACATATCAGAGGAATTAGTTTAGTATGCTTTCATTTTCTGCTTTTTCATATTTCAGCAAACCTTTGGATTCTCATAAGTATTTTTTAATAATATTCTCTTGTTCCAAGTGGAGAAGCTCAATTCATTAGGATACAATGATTTCTGTAATAATTGTTTACATTAATTGTTTACTCTTTCTATTATTGTATGCATTAAAGAGTTGTATAAGAGCAAAGACCAAGAAATCTGTTTGTTCACACAATTTAGCTTTGCGTTTCTCTTCCTGCACATGAATATTCATGTGTTTAAAATATTTGACACAAGGTTACAATGAAAATATATAATGTGTAAGTAGGTATTGTTGGAGAGAGATATTTGTCCATTGTGTTACAAAGATCCTAGAGCGGCCAATATAAATTTCACTATGTGAAGGTGAAGGTTTTGCTCTACCAGAGCTTCTCTACGGATTCCATTCACATCAGTTGTACTGGATACTGGGAAAAAAATCCATGATTACTATACCTTGCATTCCAGAGTTAACCTCTACATAAATGTCTTTTATTGAATTGGATGAATTAATTCTGTCATCCTTTTCCCCTCTACATCTTTGGCTGCTATCGTAACTGAACCATAAGAGAGCAATAGCACAAACATTTATTTTCCCCAAATCTGCAATTAAATAAAATCCCCAACATAGCTATAGTGATAAAACTCACTGAATCATTGTGCAGTGCTTGCCTTTCATAGCTGATAACCACAAAAATTGGTAATAATTTATCACTTCTGAGGATTGAGCACATATAAAGTGCAATTTTAGTACAAGGCTCCAGATCTCATTTTAAAATGAGCCATTTTAGCATCGCAATACCATGAAATTGTTCCCCAGGTAAGTTTCTCTGTAAATAAAGGAAAACAGTGAGTTACAAAATTGCCCTCTTTGTTCTATTGCCAATTTCTGAAATCATTCTTCCATTTTCCCTTGCAGCAGAGTGCTTATTGAAGTTCAGCATATGTTCTGTAAATAGACATCTTATGACATATTCAAACTGTACAACAATTTTTAAATTATTATTTTAAAAAAACTGCCCACACAAAGAGAACAATATTTCAAAATATAGTTTGGTACCAGATTTTAGGATTGGCTTTAGCATATTACTTTCTATTTATGAAACCACTTTTCTTAGATTCTGTCTGATCAAATGGGCATACTCTGAGGTGCCAAAGATTAAACAGTGCCATCTAGTGTGATCCTGCAGTTATGCCTTCTCTGTAGTTGCACCGACCTACTAGATTACCATCCTTGACAAACTTGCTTGGCCCCAAATATGCTGTCTTTTGATGCTGTCCTTCAAAACAGATCTAAAAACCTAGCTTTTTAAACTGGCTGAAAACTAGGGTGATTGGTGAATGCCAGGTGGCTAGAATTTTATTTGAATTTTCCCCCAATGAGTTATATTTGTATATTTGCTTTCCCTTCTTCCATACTTTAAATAATCTGTGTGTTTTCAAAACTGGCTATGACACAAGTTTTTAAACAGGGAATGCATAAATCCCCATGTGAATTTAATTTTTCTTAACTGGTTTTTTTAAAAAAAAATATCTAATGGAAAGTTGCATGTTGAAAACTAAAGCACAGCATCAGCTTTATTTATAATAATGTGAGTCATGCTTAGCTTCCTTTGACATGCTTTTTGCATTTTTTGAGAACTCAATATTGTAATAATTTTCATTTTAATCAATCTCAGGTATATCAAAATTGAAGACAGAGAATGTGAATTCAACAAGAATTTCCGTCTCATTCTTCACACTAAGCTGGCCAACCCCCACTATAAACCAGAGTTGCAGGCTCAGACCACTTTAATTAATTTCACAGTCACAAAGGATGGATTGGAAGACCAGTTGTTGGCTGAGGTTGTTAGTACTGAACGACCAGAGTTGGAGACAGTGAAGGTAAGCCCCCATGATGCTATGGTATCACACAGTTTATTAGTTTCTGTTATTTATTTGTTAATTTTTTCTGTGAGATGATAATCACCATGTAAATCATATAACCATATAAAAAGGTAAAGATACAAACTCAAATTAATGAAAAACATGTTAAAATAATATAGTAATTAAACAGCTGGCAGAAGAGTATAAGCAAATTCTCAGTGAATAAATTTCATATTTGACTTAGCCTGTTAAAAGCTAGTTGATGGTCATGCGATCAAATAGTGATCATATGACTCTGAGACACTGCAACTGTCGTTAATATATACTATTGCCAAGTACTCAAATGTTGATCATGTAATGCAGAATGCTACAATAGTCATAGGTGCAAGGACTGGTCATAACTTACTTTTTTCAACCCTTGAACCCTTGTTAAACAAAAGATTATAGATTGAGGATTACCTGTACTTCTTGAATTCAACCTTTATGTATGTACAATCTACTAATCGTACATCATCAAACATCACTAATGCTACCATTTATCATGTTCTAGACAAGGTGGGATACTCTGCTACTGTTGAACTGCAATTCCTGTCAGTTCTTGCAAATATAGACATCATCATCATTGTCATGATCATCAACATCAACAAATCTTTATTTGGTCATAGACCAACGTGTAGGATACAGAAATCGCAGTTAATTAGAATAAAATAAAAAAGGAAAATGTGTTTATATATGTACCTAAAATATCTAAGAGAGGTTGGAATCAATCTTACAGTGTAAAGTGTGGATTACTGAGCAGTAAAATTGATCTGATAATGAATAATCCCTAGTTTCCAAACTTTTTCATTATGTTTCCTAGTCTCTTCTGACCAAACAACAGAATGATTTCAAAATTCAACTGAAGGTCTTAGAAGATGATCTACTTTTTCGCCTTTCTGCTGCTGAAGGCAGCTTCTTGGGAGATACTGAACTTGTGGAAAAACTTGAAACCACAAAATTAATGGCGGCAGAGATAGAATTCAAGGTACTTCAGCTTTAGGGTTTGATTTTGCTTACTGCAAGTACATATTTTTATCTGAAGACAAATCCAGATATGCTATGTGGATCTCCTTCTTTCTTGTGACATAAATGTTAGCAGTTTGATATCCTCAATATAGGAAATAATAACTGGTTTGGAACACAATGTGCTCACTATAGTGGCTAATGACAAATCATCTTCCTATTTTTAAATGCTCAGTGCTTGTTATTGTGATATTAAAACCACTTGGCCAGTGACATTTAAAAGTTGATTAATGGAGAAGGGTGGAATCATAACATCATAAAGCATTTATGGTCCTTGTATGAATGGGAGGCTATTGTGCTTGCATGTAAATCTCCACTCGCATGAATGGAGCTTTGTATGTGAGTGCGGGCATCCTCCACTCATGCAAATGGAGCTTCACATGCACTCGTTTGCCCATTTCTCCCGCGGCCCAGTTTCAAACAGGCCACAACCTGGTAGTGGGTCATGGCCAGGGGTTGGGGACCCCGGTTTACAATGTCAACTTACTGACCTCTACAATCTGGGTCCTCATTTTACTAAGCTTGGAAGGATGGAAAGCTGAGTCAAGATCGAACTCCAGGCTGTGGGCAAAGTTTATTTGTAACGCTGCATTTGAACCACTGCACCACCAGAGTACATTATATTGCATTGCATTGCATCGCATTGCATCGCATTGCATCGCATTGCATCGCATTGCATCGCATTGCATCGCATCGGATCGCATCGCATTGCATTGCATTGCATTGCATCGCATCGCATCGCATCGCATCGCATCGCATTATCATATCTCATAGAATCATAGAATAAGAGAGTTGGAAGGGACCTTGGAGGTCCTCTGGTCCAACCCTCTGCTCAAGCAGGAGAGTCTATTCCAAATATTAGCCTCAACCTAGGATTGAACTCACAGCCTCCTGATTGTGAGACGAGAGTTTCACTTCTAGGCCACCGGAGCTCTGGAATAATATTATCTCATATTATATTATTATATTAATTATATTATCATTATATTATAATTTATATATAAAACTTTGCTGCTGGAGGTATATATTATGCATCCCATGGATTGCAAAAATAAAAAACAAAGAAGTCCAAGTCAGAACCCATGGACACTGTAAAATATGACATCGGAATGACCATGTCAGATCTGAAGGAGGCAGAGCATGAGGCAGAGGGGCATGAGAGAGTTGATCCATAGAGCGGCCCAATGTTGAGCATGACTGAATGACGACGAAGATATATATGTTTGTGTGTGTGTAATATATGTGTGTGTGTGTGTGTGTGTGTGTGTGTGTGTGTGTGTGATAAAAATAATAAGATATAAAATATCTATTGGCTAATACAATATATTTTAATATTATAATATACACTATTATCACTATCAATATTTACAGAGTTATGTAAGTATGACATAAAAAGTATGACTTTAACTTTCATCTTTTGAGACTGCTATTTCTGTGTAAATAATATTATTGAAGATACTGGCCTGCATAGTCCTACAAATGCTTATTTACAGTTTTCATCTAATCATCCTTATCTTCCTTGGAATAACTGCACATCTTCTTATAGACTTTTGACCTTTGTATTTTTCATAAGGAATATTATCCAAACAATCTATCAACAATCCTGAACGCTTGATATGGATTCATTATAGATGCTAGTATTTTAGTTCCCATTTTAAAGCATCCTTTAGAAAAGTGATTTAGCAGCTCAACGGTTAACCACTGTAAATTATATACTCCTACTTCTCTACAGTTCTTGTTCTTAACTCAATGGGGATTTTGCCTAAGTAATTTTGTGTAAGATTGCAGCTTAAACATTACTGTGAATTTGCTCTTACAATAATTATGATACCTTCTTTGTTGTTATCTCACAGGCTGCAGAAGCCAGAGAAAATGAAGTTAATATTAATGAAGCCAGAGAGCATTACAGACCAGCAGCTGCAAGAGCTTCTCTTCTTTATTTTGTCATTCAGGATCTAAGCAAAATCAATCCCATCTATCAGTTTTCACTGAAGGTACTTTAACTTTTACTTGCTTTATTTCTGAAAGTAAAAAATAAATGCAGAGCTGCAAACAGCTTGATTACCAGCAATCATATCCGAAGAAAGTAGGAAAGTGATATGATAATTTTTAAATAACTTAAAGTCACTTATTATGCCCTCCTGTTATTATGGTCAAATCATAATAGTTTATATTATATTGAAAATTTGCAGAAAATTTCTAGCTAGAGAATTGTGAAATGGAAAAATATGATTGTATCGCACTCCCAACAAATGTGATATCTTCTTAGAATATACTGCTGTTTTCCAGTGTCAATAGCAGTTAATGAAATTTTAAACAGAATAGTAGCAACTTTGAACAGCAGATAATCATAAGAGAACGTTAGAATTATTCAGAACAGCTGCAAGCAACACTGTCCAGGCCCTTCTTGCTCCAAGCTTCAATCCATTATGGTATCATCCAGTACTTCATCCATGCCACCTATTTCCCACCTATTTCTTTTATTTCCTGTTTTTTTGTTTGAGGAGAAAAACATGCAACATTTGAGGACTTGATAAGTTAACATTAGACTTGATTAAACAGACAGATTCAAACAGATAATCAGAGTTGGAAGGTACCTTGTAGGTCATCTAGTCCAACCCCCCGCCCAAACGGGAGACCCTACACCATTTCTGACAATGGCAGGCCAATCTCTTCTTGAAAGTCTCAAGTGATGGCGCTCCCACAACTTCCCAGGGCAAGCTGTTCCATTGGTTGATTGTTCTCACTGTCAGAAAGTTTCTCCTCATTTCCAGATTAAATCTCTCCTTGTTCAGTTTCCATCCATTATTCCTTGTCTGGCCTACAGGCGCTTTAGAAAATAGCTTGACCTCTGCCTCCCTGTGGCAGCTCCTCAAATATTGGAAGACCTCTATCATGTCTCCCCTGGTCCTTCTCTTTACTAGACTAGCCAAGCCCAGTTTCTGCAACTGTTCGTTGTATGTTTTAGCCTCCAGTCCCCTAATCATCCTGGTTGCTCTTCTCTGTAGTTTTTCTAGAGTCGAAATCAATGGTTCCCAAAGTGGGCGGTACTGCCCCCTGGGGGGCAGTGGGATGCCTTAGGGGGGCGCTAAGAGGCAAGGGGGCTGGCAGGAGAGCATAAGAGGTGGCAAGGGGGTGTTCGAGGCGCCGGCCCTGCAGGTTCACTCATGGATTAGCACTGCTCCAGAGCCGGCACCTCCAATGAGGAAGCGGTGGCACATTACATGCCACCACAGCCGCGTTCGATGCACCACGCCCCTGCTGCCTCTTAGCACCCCTCTGCTGGCCCCCTTGGGGATGCTAAGAGGCGGCAAGGGGGCATTCGAGGCGCCAGTCCTGCAGGTTCACCCATTGACTGTAGCACCGCTCTGGAGCCAGCGCCTCCAATGCAGAAGTGGTGGCACGTTATGTGCTGCTGCGGCAGCGTTCAATGCACCATCCTCCTGCCACCTCTTAGTGTCCCCAAAGGGGCTGGCAGAGGGGTGCTAAAAGGTGGTAGGGGGGTGTTCAAGGCACCAGCTGGCCCTGCAGGTTCACCCATTGAGGTGCCGGCTCCGGAGGGGTGCTACAGTCAATGGGTGAACCTGCACGGCCTTGAACGCCCCCCTGCCACCTCTTAGCATCCCCAAAGGGGCCACAGGAGGCACTAAGAGGTGGCAGGGGGGCGGTGCATCGAACACGGCCGTGGCGGTATGTAACGTGCCACCGCTTCCACATTGGAGGTGCCGGCTGCAGAGGGGTGCTACAGTCAATGGGTGAACCTGCAGGGCCGGTGCCTCGAACGCCCCCCTGCCACCTCTTAGCATCCCCAAGGGGGCCATCAGAAGGGTGCTAAGAGGCGGCAGGGGTCAGTGCGTCAAACGTGGCCATGGCGGCATGTAATGTGCCACCGCTTCCGCATTGGAGGCACCGGCTCCAGAGCAGTGCTAGTCAATAGGTGAAACTGCAGGGCCGGCCAGCACCCCGAACGCCCCCCTGCCACCTCTTAGCCCCCCTCTGCCAGCCCCATTGGGGATGTTAAGAGGCGATAGGGGGCGTTCGAGGCGCCGGCCCTGCAGGTTCACCCATTGACTGTAGTAATGCTCCAGAACCGGTGCCTCGAATGTGGCAGCACGTTGGGAAAAGTTGCTGCCACCGCTTTCCCAAAATGCCACCGCTGTCGCATTCTGTCTGTCTGTCCATCTGTCCATCCAAAAGATCTGTCTGTTTGCCTGCCTGCCTTCCTGCCTACCTACCTGCCTGCCTGTCTCTCTCTCTTTCTCTCTATCCATCCATCCATCCATGTTCGAAGCGCCAGCCCCGCAGGCACATCGGGAAAGTAGAGCAACGCCAGTCTGAGAGGGAGGGAGGGAAGGAGGGAGGGAGGGAGGGAAGGAGGGAGGGAGAGAGAGAGAGAGAGACCTGATGCATCAGAAATGAGGCCTAGTTTAGACTGAGGCCCTTTTCCACATTGAAACATCTTTGCCAGCACATTGAAACATCTTTGGCTTCTATTAAAGGTTTTGTGGACGAAACATGGTCAAGACTATCAGGAAGCTCTCACATTTTGTTGAGGCTTTAAACAAGATCCATTGGACCAGATCTCCACCCTAAAAATTACTTTTGTCCAATATATTACAGTGCCAATTCTGAAGAAGGCAAAACCAAAATGTACTGGTAAATTACAAGGAGAACACACACACACACAAACACACACACTCCCTTCTAACCTCCTGGAGCAGGTGATTGGACTAGAATAGATATCTCATTATCTTTCTCTTCCCCCCTCCCTCCTTCTTTATTTCTTTTTCTTTCTGTCCCTTCCTTCCATCCCTCCTCTTTCTTTGTCCCTTTTTCTTTCTTTCCCTTTTCTCTTTATTTTTTTCCTCTCTTTCTCTCTTTTCTCTCTCTTTCCCTCTCTCAGGCTCCTCCCTTTGGATCAGGGGTCGCCAAACTTTTGGACCTCAGGGACCATCAAACTCATAATTTTAAATTCCGGAGACCACCAATGTGAATTTTGACTGACGGTAGTTTTCTGGCGTTGGTGGGAAAGAGAGAGAGAGATCTGAACCAACCTCTCTCTCCCCCTCTCTCAGACACACACAGGCAGGGGTGGGATTTAGACCCCTGATCTAAAGCTGTCAAAACTCCAAAAACTGGTCAAGTAGCTCTGGGGAGGCCAGTCATAAATTAGAACACTTGCTAAACAACCGGTCATTAAGTGAGGACCACTTGTATTTGGTTTGCCAGTCACCTGGCCACACCCACCCAGTCACATGGCCAGCAAGCCACGCCCACCCAGTCATGTGACCAGCAAACCACACCCTCAAATAAGGCCACACCCACAGGAATTTGAATCCCACCCCTGGGTGGGGGGCACCAAAGATGAGTTTGTAGCACCAAGGGGGCAGTGGACCGAAAAAGTTTGGGAACCACTGGTCTAGATTATTTCCCCTCGCTTAGAGTTTTGCAAACGGATTTAAGTAAATTAAAAATGTCTGGTACTTTATGAACATATCATACTATAGCTCCACTTGGTTCTTCAAAGACAGTGAGTATTTTAGTATTTTAAGGCATTTGTCTCTGATTCTTTCTTCCTTATACATAGTTCAAGAATCAACAGATTTTGTCTCCCTGGTAAAGGAAAATCTGTTTTGATTTATTCTTTTTCTAACTCTTCATTCTTGTTTAAGCTAACCCACTGCCTTGCAGTGTATGTGTGTGTGTATATACTCTGTGTGGATGTGGGTGTATAGTATGTGTATAGTATATGTGTGTGATCTATCTCTGTCTGTCTATCTAATTATGAATATATATCACAACTCCATTTTTCTCTAACACAAAACTCATTCCAGTATATTGCTTCACAATGCATCCATTTCTTAAAACTTTGTAGCTTAGTACTTAGTACTTAGTACAACCAGGGTCTGAGAAACACATTTACAACTCAGGTCTGAGAAAAAGCCACAAATTTTTGCTTCTCTTTCTCAATTCAAGACTTTTCTGACACTAAAAAAATCAAATTGCACAAATAGTTTTGTTCCATTCCTGGCAACAGAAATGTAATAATAGCAAATTAAAGAATCAACTTCTTTTACATGCCTGAAGCTCTACTTCCTTCTTTCTAATAATTGAACCATTTAGATTCATCAAATACTTCAAGTTAAAAACGTATATTTTCCCAGAACAATATTGAGTGTTGTAAAACCTATCACTTTATAACAAAATCATCTCACATCACATCCAAATCTTCACTTGCCTTTCATATACTCCCTTTCTGGAACTTGGAAGAGATATTTTAAGAAGTTTTTATATTTCATTCACAAAAACTGTATTACTATAATTACTATAATATCCTTAATTTGTGCTATAATATCCTTAATGTTTATGCCTATTACAGAACATATTATTAAGTTGCCAGATACTCTACCAAAAGAAATTTTGAGAGAATGTTTTCTTGTTTTGGTATGTTAGGCTTTCAACAATGTATTTCATAAAGCTATTGGGCGAGCTGAAGCATCAGATGATATCCAGGAACGCATCTCCAACTTGACAGAAGCCATAACGTATTTCACCTACATTTATATCAGCCAGGGACTTTTTGAGAGGGACAAACTTATTTTTCTTGGCCAGGCAATATTTCAGGTTAGAAAAGTTTAATCGTTCTTATTATTAGCATTGCCATTTTACAATTGCCAGTAAAGTTGCATTTATTGATGTAAATCAGCAGTTTGCAAATTTTTACTATTTGAGTTGACATTAATAATACATATAAAGTTGCAGGATAGATTTGGCAACCAAATAATCAATTGCTATTTGGTTAAATATACAAAATGGAGCACTATGAACTTGGAACAAAACAGTTGCACTCAGAATATGTTATTGGGTGTTTCAAGTTGTTTGTATTCTAATGGAATAAAATTTGTAATGGTTTGAATGTTCCAGATTTCAGTGGGGAAAAAATTAAAAGTGTCTATCATTTTTGTCATAGGAAATAATGTGGATTTAGGATTAAACCTGAATTGGGCTATGGTATTTTAATGCACTGTATTAAATATTTTATGTCTATGATTCTTCCTGGCTAAGTGATAGCCCATCAACATTAGTGCATATAGAGAAGCCATAATGGGGAAAATAAGCCTAAACCAAACTTCAAAAATGTTAATCCATGTGCTTCATCCAGCTTTAAGTAGTCCTGCTTTCATATAAGAATGGCACTGGACACACACTAAGGAGCTTGATAAATACATCTTAAGAATTTAGACCAAAAAGACTTAACTTTTGCAAAACTAGAATAAATAGCTGTTGAAGCACAAGGAAACTGGGCAATTAACCCAGCATCAGTAGAATTTGAAACATGTACAAAGTACCGTAATGTGTACCTATTTTTTTTTTTGCTTTATCTATCTGCAAAATAAAACATAGAACAAAACACTCTGTATAATCTGTCTACCAATCCATGTCAGTTATAACTTTCCTGCAACAAAAAGTTTTATTTTCCTTTTAATTACTCTGCCTTACTCTCTTATATATTATTTCTAAGATAGTGGTAAATTCTATTTTCCTCTTAGTTGTTTTTGTTTCCACATCTTCTTATCCAGTCTAACCAATAGCATTAAAGTCCCACTGCTAAATTAGTTAGGCTGAGAGATCTTGAGGGAAAAGTTGTCCAATTACAAGCTGCTGAACAAAAATAAATTGTAGGACCTAGAACAGGATATTCAGAAATAGACCACCTGTTTGTTTGTTTGTTTGTTTGTTTGTTTTCATCTATGAAGAAACACTAGTATTCTTTATTCCATCTTGAAGAAAATTTAATTTCACCTAATTATTTTATAGTTAGAACATTCAAAATTGTCATTTTGTGGTTAAAATATTTCAAGGTATTTTAACATTTTATCACTAATTTCTCCAAAGCCCAGCTCCACATACATGAGGCAAAATAGCATTCCGTTAATTTAATTACTAACTAATTTGGACAGATTTATTTACAGATATCACTAAGTTCAAAATAAGAAATGGCATTGGCACTAACAAAACAAACACAAGAGTAACCGAGTTGGGAAGGACCTTGGAGCTCTTACCTTGCTCAAGTAAGAGACCCTAGATCATTCCAGACAAATGGTTGAGGCAGTCCTTTTGGGAAGAAGCAGCTAGAGAATACGGCAGGCAAAGGAGGGAGGAACATTTTACTTCGAATGCTCGGAGAACAGAGCAGCCAGTGCAAGGGAAGGAGAAGGCCTCTTTCCCTCTTTCTTTTCTTGCTCCTCCTCCTTCCCTTGTTCTGGCTGCTCCATTGCCCATTTCTTCATTGCAGCGCAGCACCCAGGATCAACTTTGATAGTGGGGCGTGTGTGTTGTAATTTAAAAACCAGTTCGCCCAGGGTCAGTTTGGGCCATGCCTCCCATGACAGCCAACCTGACCCTAGGAGAACCGATTGTTAAATTATTTGAATCCCACCATTGGTTAAAGATCTTATAATAAAATTTAATTTTATTAAACTTTAATAAATTTTAAAATGGTCGTTTTTACCTATACCTATTTTACCTATAATAGAAAAAAATGTTTCTTAGATACCCGCAGTTATAACAGATCTATAAATTTCATAAAACAAATAAATGGATAAATAGTATGTATCAACAGAGCAAATCTAAAATTTAGTTTTATATTTTTGTTCACTCTTTACTTCCTAGATTTTGTTGAGGAATAAAGAGATTGAACCTACCATGCTGAATTTCTTGCTACGATTAAAAGTTGAACATACCTATAAAACTCCAGTTGACTTTTTAACAACTCAACCATGGAGTGCTATTAAGGTAAGTATAGAAATATTTTTTCTGAGATATTATTTTTCATTTTCAGATACTATAAAAATGCACTACTTCCTATGTCTGAGTGAGTTTTAACTTAATTATGTGCATCTTTATTTCAGAGTCCTAATTTACCAACATTTAAATGCAGTATATATACTGATCTAAAGTTGCTTTGCTTTGAAGTAAATACAGTTTTCAATTTATATACTACATTTTATATGTTACATCTCTATTTTGGCTTTAAATAATTATTGTTTTAAAAATCTTAAGTAAGAGGTCTATTGAAACATGACTTAGTATTTTCTCCATTCATTGGGGTCTTAAGATGTGGGAACCTTTACCCAATATAGTTGAAAATAGCTTATAGTTGAAACTCCATATAGTAACTTTGCAGTAAGATTGTTGATAAATATGATAATTTTTCTTTCTTGGTCCTAATAATTTGAAAGCCAACAATTCATGCATTACATTATGTATTGCAGGCTATTGCTTTAGTGGATGAATTCCGAGGATTAGATAAAGACATTGAAGGTTCTGCCAAGAGATGGAAAAAATGGGTGGAATCAGAATGTCCAGAAAAAGAAAAACTACCCCAGGAATGGAAAAATAAAACTTCTTTTGAGAGACTTATTATACTACGAGCATTGCGCCCAGATCGGATAATTTATGCTCTAAGGTATAATGTCTGATTTGAGGAAGAAGAGCAAAGTTTCTATGGGTATTTGTTCTCTATATGTTTGGTCATCCTCATCATATGCCATTTAGCATTCCAAGTGATCTACAGTAATGGCCCCCAATCTTTCTGGTTCCGCGGACCGACAGCAGCAGGTGGTGGTGGCAGCAGGAGGGGATTATTTTGTGCACATAATCTAATCCCACACATGTGCAAATGGAGCTTCACCTACTTGCTCGCTGCTTGCATGGCCTGGTTCCCAATGACTCATGAAATGGTAGTGGCCTGCAGACCAGGCGTTGGGGACCCCAGTCTAAAGTAATGAATCTGATTTAGAAAGGTTCATATAAGGTAAATATATGTCTAGATAGCACTACTTTAGAACCATGTTTGAAAAATGTTGATCTACTCATATCTAAGTGCTTATCTTGCTGATCTATCTGTCCCATCTCATCTTTTTTTTCAGGCTTGCTTATTATGATAGAACATGGGGTGTTATATAAATTCATATGGCAAATGATTCACATGAAGGAAACTTTACATAGGAGCAGCCTTCATAATTATGGATTTAAAATTTCAATTCAGCCAGCTCTTCGTGGTTGTGAACTAGGACCTAGGCTAATAGTTTCTAACTCTGATTTTTATGTATGTACGTATTACTGTAGAGATTTTGTAGAAGAAAAGCTAGGTTCGAAGTATGTGGAAGGCACAAGAATAGACTTGGCCAAGTCCTATGAAGAAAGCAGTCCAGCTACTCCCGTGTTTTTTATTCTTTCCCCTGGGGTGGACCCTCTGAAAGACATGGAAACACTTGGTGAGCCTTATGTTATTGTATGAATATTAGTTTAAAATTTGTGCATTTGGAAATTCAGCAATGCAAATTTTCCTTTCACTCAATTTCAAAAACTTAACAGATGCAAATACATGTAAGTTGAAATACATGGAATGCAATACATGAAGTTCATTCATTAGTAAAATATATACATTTTTTACATTTCCTTCTCTGAATAGAAGATTAAATTTTTGTTGTCATAATTACTGGACAACTACCACGAACATGTAAATATTATCAGCTAAAAACTACTTGATTTAGATTGGGAGAATAAGGAAAATTTATGCTAAAAAGAGTCATAAAAAGACATTCATTTTAATGGAAAGCATGCAACATGTGTTGAAGTAATTTTCCACAGCATCATTTATAGAGAAATATGTCTAAAATATATATAGTATTTAAAATAATAGAAAGATCAATACTTTGAATTCAAGACATAAAGTCCATATATTAAAATATAATCCTGATATTTATTTATTATATTTATATGTTCAAGTAATCCTATTTATTTAACTCCATTGACTTAAATAGGCGAAAATCAATGGGATTTGGGGAACAAGACATGACATGGCTCAGTATCTCAGAGTCTTAGATCATGATTTTGCATTCTGCATTTTGCTATGGCTAGTAACAAAACGTTTCTCCAAATGTTGGATTGCAAACTCCACAAAATTTCCCTTAATTTATTATTGGTAATAATGGCAGCTCTTACTCTAACTTAGAACAGCAGTTAGTCTTTAATTAATACATGTTAAGCTCACCACCATCCAAAAAAAAAAATCCACAAACAAGCATTATCCCGATATAAAGCAGATTTAAATTTGCAATTGTTTTCTTCAACAAGAGTTAAGTTTTTAAAGACTTCCTCCTCTCTGCCTTAAACCATCATTCACCGTGGAAGAGTGGATAAAAAGTGTGCAGCTATTAACGCTGCAGTATGAAGAAATTTTTAGATTGAACATTCCTCTGCTTGGCATAATGCAGGCTCTTTTGTGCTGTTCCTTACCTTTTGACTAGATGAGGGCCAGAGGGCAATTTTCTCTATGCTCATGTAATCTTGCGCCCCCTGTGACTAAATAATGGTCATTATACAAACTATATTCATTGTGTAAGAAACTGTCGCATTGTACTTAGGATTACTATTCTCCACTGACTCTGCTGAGAATACCAGGTTAATACAGCTGTGACCTGACTGTGCTCAATTTAGACCCTGGCCTCACAAGGTGAGAAACTAACACATTTTCCTCCTGAACCAATCAGTTAAAAAACTGATGTGATAGCTACCACATGTTGCTCCCTTTTTTTATAAGGGAAATGACTTGCACCCCCTGTATGACTTTATAAAGCTTGGTAACAATACCTCGCATCTATCAAAATGTCAAAAGGTTCATTATCTTAAAACCAAGGGAGCAGATTTCTGTAGCTTTCTTTCTCTAATATTAGCCATAAGGCTGCTCTTGAGAGCTCACAATTTTGCTTGTTGAAATGGGGTTGACTGAAGTACTTCACAAAAAAGCCCATGTGTGCATTGTTACAGTGATAGAGAAATTACTGGTGCATTATCCTCTTTTCTCCTGCAACCCTCTCCCTTTTTCTACTTTTATTTATTTCCCCACTCCCACCCCTGTCGCCCCACTTGCAGGCAAGAAACTTGGCTTCACAATTGACTGTGGGAAACTTCATAATATCTCTTTAGGACAAGGGCAAGAGATTGTGGCAGAGAAGGCAATAGAAAAAGCTGCCAAACATGGACACTGGGTTATTCTCCAGGTAAATGTAAAACAATACAATTGATGTACCTTCATACAGTTCATTTCATAGGAATAATGGAAGTGATAAAAAGGGGAATGGCTTTCTGAGAGAGAGCAATTTCTCCCTGTGTTAAACAGATTTTTTTGTTCAGCCTTAATTATTGCAGAATAAAATTGAATCTTTCTTGGGCTATTTTTTTTTTTTTTGCCTTATAACTAAAATAAGCTCTTAGCCATAGCAAACTGCTGATTGGGGCAGAAAGCATAAGGGAAAGTTATTGTATGTCATAAAATTTGGGGTGGTATTGTTCTGGAGAAAGTGGTTTAGTATCACTTCTTTTATTTTTGCTCTTGTCTTCTATCATTTGAGTGGACAATCTTAAAGTTATGTTAAGAAAAATACATCTCAAAAAAACAAACAAACCTTGGAATCTTGAGTCCTGGACTTGAGCTATACTTTTCAAAAGTTTTGGTCAAAAAATAAGAGTTAATAAACCGAATACAAATCAAATGCACTGTATAACTTAAAAATTACAGCTTGGAAAAGGTCAAGATAGGCAATTTGCAACCACTACCTAATGAATTCCTCAATCTATATAGCAATGATGAACTTATTTCAAAGGAGTTCAAGAAGAACATCAGACAATACAAAGCTGTCTCCTGCAAATGTCATCCATTGATGACAAAGTAGTTCTTCTATTAAATAATGGATGGAATTTTTCTGATTATTCAAGGGCAAATCCATCATTATATCAAGCATGCCCAACCAACAACTCAATGTATTTAAATTTACTTCATGGTTCTTAAGACAGTGTAGAATTGAGAATGAATATACTCTCCAATGATAGGATTCAAGATGAGATTGTTGAATTGCTGAAAGAAGAGGAAGGAGGGGAGGATGTTTCCAATATTCCCTGCCAGCTTCTCCATGGAAAATCAATGCTCCCGTTGCTTTGCTGCCTGCCTTGTTTATATAAGGAAATATCTCTGGAACAATAACCCAATGGACCAGGGGCTTTCTAGTAAAATATAAAACAACTGTGCAAACCATTTTCTATTTCTATTCTATTTTCTATTTCTAATTCTATTTTCCTTTAATTCTATAATTCAATGCTGGCTGAATTTTAAAATAGAGATTGTAAGAGAATTACAGATAGTCCTTGACCTATGACCACAGTGGGACAGGCAGTTCCTTCACTAAGTGTGTTGTGCCCAATTTTATGACCTTTTTCACTGTAGCTCACTACAGTCATTAAGTGGATCATCTAATTGTTAAGTTGTTAAGCAAATCTGGTTTCTCCTTTTGATTTTACTTATCAGAAGTTGTTTAGAAGATTGCAAGTGATTGTGTGATCTGAAAATACTGCAACCCAATGTGAATACATGCCGGTTGCCAAGCACCTAAATTTAGATTAGATGCTCATGGGGAATGATGCAATTGACATTAGTTTAAAGACCAGTTCTGAGTGACTTTTTTCAATGCTATTGTAACTTAGAATGGTCATTCAATGAAAGATCAATGAGATTGAAGACCACCCATCTTCTATGCAGTGTTTCATCTTCTAAAATACATAAATATATTGGGGAACAAATATATGTAAAATAAAATGCCTTTTAATAAATATTTATTACTGGATATGTTAAATCATTTGTAAAAATTAACTAAATAGAAATTAGATAAAATGCCAATAATGGAATTGATAATATCACAGAATTACTCTCTTGACCCCCAGTTTAATATATGCTTTGTTTCTACAATAAGCACATGAGAGGGCAAAGCTATTTATTTTGCCTGGCAAAATCCCAGTTACAATGACATTATTATCATGTTAGTTGTCACTGCAAATGGAATGCACTTATGATTGTGATTCTGCAATCTCGGTTGTCAAAGAATCTGCGAATGTTTTATACCATTTTGTGTCCAACCTTGGCAAAATGGTTTCTACAGTTGAGTTAAAAGAAAAAATGTCCAAGTATTTAGGATATTCTGGTAAATGCAGAATGGATCCAGCCTTCCACAGCACAAATGCATTACCTTTGTTGGCAAACAGACTTGCTTTACAAGCAAAGACTATAAAATTCATTCTGGGGATTTCAGGTTCAATGGCAAGGCATGATTCTAAGATCTATTTAGTCCCCACCTCTGGTTTCTCACCCATTGTGTCCAATGGTGAGATTCAAATTTTTTACTACCGGTTCTGTAGGCGTGGCTTGGTGGGCTTGGCAGGGGAAGGATACTGTAAAATCTCCAGTCAGAGGTGGTGTTTGCCGGTTCTCCAAACTACTCAAAATTTCCACTACCAGTTCTTCAGAACTGGTCAGAACCTGCTGAATACCACCTCTGATTGTGTCTCAGATATTGTTTGACCTCACATTAATGATAGATAACAGTTGGCACGAGAAGATACTGTTATTTGTAATAGCCATGATCTCTTGAAATTTCTCTGAGTGCCTTCTCAGAGCTTTGTAGAGAGGCATCACTCTCTTTTCCCTTTATTCTTTGCAAAATCTTGGCTTACTAAATATTTGGAGATAATGAAGTTCTTGTTGATATGAAAGATATTAAAATACAGTGTAGTAAAAAAAAAACCCAACTGTTCATTACATTTATAATTTAAAATTAAATTACAGTTGTGAATTTACCAAAGGCAATTTGTTCTGGATTTTGTTTTGTTTTTATAATTGCTACCCAGCTTTGCCAGGACTTGATAATATTATTAGCTGGGGCCATTTCTAAATGATAACTATGTATTTATCATGAATGTTTTGCTTTTTCTTAAACAGAATATACATCTTGTTGTGAAATGGCTGGGCACCTTGGAGATACTTGTGGATAAATACAGCAAAGGAAGTCACTGTGACTATCGTCTTTTTATCAGTGCTGAGCCTGCTCCAACTCCTGAAGAGCATGTTATACCTCAAGGAATTTTAGAAAACTCTATTAAAATTATTAATGAACCTCCTATAGGAATGTTGGCTAACCTTCATGCTGCTCTCTACAATTTTGACCAGGTAATAATATTACATGTATGTGTGTGTGTGTATGTGTGCGTATGTATTTCTCTTAAAAGTCAACCAATAGTTCTATCTGTATTAAAGGATGATCTATTCTGGAATTAAGAAATTTAAGGAATTACATAAATGAAGCACTTTGTAATTGAAAAAGGGAAACGGGCATCTTATTACATAGCCTTTTACAGTATTGAGAATAATATCACTAGGACAGGAAGCATGTACAGTAGATCTGTTTTTTCATCTCAGTTAATGACAAATAGCTGCGTCTAGCATAGTTTTATATATACATTGTTATATGTAATTTGTATATTATGTTTGAGATTTAGGATGCTACTTACTATATATATAGTGTTCTGCTAAATGCTTTTAGTCAGTCCGTTTTTGCAGTCAGATGGGCAGCAAACAGAATAGGTTTGTTGGGCCCAAATGGAATAAACAGCCTGTCCATTAAATTATATCTGGTCTATAACTGAAATATTAGATAGATGACATGGAGGAATGCAGTGTTATCCTAAACTGCATGCAGTTTTGAGTAATGTCTAATCTGCCAAATAATAGTGCAGTGGATCATGCCTATATTAAAAATAGGAATATAATAGCACTTACATTTTACTGATGCTTCAGTTGCTGTGGTAACAATTCTATTGTTTTTTAAAAAACATTTTTGCTAAACTGAATATACTTGCATATTTTTGCTCCTAGACTCTACACTTTGTGAAAAATGTAATTACTGCTTATATATAGAAAACACAGTTGTAAACTCTAACACCTTTTGTTGATATGTGATTTGATACAAATATTCTGTTTTCATATTTCTTTGTTATCAGGATACACTTGAGTTGTGTACACGAGAACAGGAGTTCAAAACTATTTTCTTTTCTCTGTGCTATTTTCATACCTGTGTTGCTGGGAGAGTAAAATTTGGACCTCAAGGATGGAATCGAAGATACCCTTTTAATATGGGAGACCTCACCATCTGTGTTAATGTGCTCTACAATTATTTAGAGGCAAACACTAAAGTAAGAACTAAAAGATTTAAGTAATTTATTGACAAAAGCATATCTTTTGGGTATTTAGAAATGAGTAAACAAGAATGTAATCATTTTGCCTTTAAAAGTAGATGGAAATTTGCCTATTGTTGATCAGGCAGTTCAAACAATTCTCATAGAGGATATGTAAACTTACTAACATAGGTTGAAGTGGTTCAGTGATACTGGCTTAGCTAAAATAAACAAACAAGTAAATAAATAAATAAAATTGTCCTTCATTATATTAGCAAAAACAGTGGTTTATACATGCATATGTGCCAGATTCATTAGGCAGGTAATGAAGCATTTGTACAACTATAATTACATATAGCAGATCTGACAGTTCATAACACTGCATTAATAATCACTACAATTAATTCTGATCATAAAAACAATTTAGAACACATTACATATATAAATAATGGTGCATTTCTTCCATGTGTCATTATTATGTATTAAGAAGGCCACCTTGTTGTGACTTTCTTAGGCACATTCCCACTGAATTCGGGTTTAAAATTAGATGACTTTATGATTAGTTGCCAGTTGGAAAAACCATTCATGTCGGTAATATAGTCTTCTGAGCTTTTTATACATATGTGTAAGAATATCTGTAGAGATACATGTATAAAGATGAAAGCTTTACTGCAACAAATTTTGTGGCACTTGTGAAATAATTTTTTTTAACATACACTTCACTACCATAATTCTTTATAAATTAATATCTATATTGGGTAAGTTATAATAAAATAATGACAAATGACAGCCAGTTTTATATAGTGGTTAAAGCATCAGGCTAGAAATTAGAAGATGTTGAGTTCTGGTCCTGATTTAGGCAAGAAGACAGCTAAGTGACTTTTGGCCAGTCAGAAGAAGGCAATGGCAAACCACATTTGAAAAACCTTGATAAGGTTTTTGCCAATCTTTCTAGAACTGAAAGAAAGTGACTGACTCAAGGCTCCTGCTAACTAATATAGATACCTATTTATAAAGCATTGTGTTAGTGAAGTCAATTTTCAAATTCCACAAAATTCCATAAAACCATTGCCTTTATTCATGTACCTTTACAAATATTCTTACACACATATATAAATGTATATAAGTAATACCTCCTTTAAAAACCTTGGTCCATCTGGCCCAGCTGGTAGCACCTCGTAAGGGCTCCTTTCCAGGGTTACAGGTGAAGATGGTCAACAGTTTTGAAGGCAGAAGAGGGCTTTATGCCCCAACGGCAGATAAAACAGTAGAACCATCTTCTAGGACAGCGGTTGTCAACCAGTGGGCCGCGGCCCACTGGTGGGCCATGAGAAAATTTTGGTGGGCCGCAGAGAAATCTCACCCCCAGAGCACCCCCAAAGCAATTAATCCAGGCTGCGCAGAAACACAAGGCTGCGTCACCCACAGGGCCCATGGGAACCCTCCCTGCCCACTCACTCCTTACCCGGTAAACTTGCCTGTTAAATTGCTATTTTTCCTTTTTCTGAGCGTCATCTGTTCTGCTGTGCTGGGAGATTCATATTAGCTAGGAAGCAGGAAATGGTTGGATTTCTTGCTTTCTAGCTAGTTTTTAGATCTTCTGCTCTGCTTGAAACTTAGGACTGAAGGTTTGCTTGCAAGCAAATTCAGTGCGGACTCATGGCAAGCAAATTTGAGAGACTGAGCTAGCCGATGGCAGATAGAGAGATCACTGAATGATTCTGTGAGCAACTCAATCTGCCTGATTTTGGGTAAAAGTTGCTCTTTTTTTTATAAAAAATCCAATATTTACATACATGGTATGTTGTGAGTTAATTTTGTGAGTTTGCTTGCTAGCAAATTTTATGAGTTTGCTTGCAAGCAAATTTTATGTGACAGACTGAGCCAGCCGATGGCAGATAGATAGATCTTCGAATGAATCTGTGATTCTGTGAGCAACTCAATCTGCCTGTCTGCTTTGCCTGATTTTGGGTAAAAGTTGCTTTTTTATTTAAAAAATTCAATATTTATATAAATACTTATAATATTTACATACAAGCCAGGCCCAGCCAGTCACATGACCACCAAGCCACACCCACAAATTAGGCCACACCCACAGAACCAGTTAGTGGTCCCTGGGATCTAAAATTATGAGTTTGGTGGTCCCTGAGGTCCAAAAGATTGGCGGCCCCTATTCTAGGAGATGCGAAACTGATTTCAAACCTCCAATGCTTTATGGCTGTATCTATTATTGCAGGGGTCCCCAACCACCGGTCCGCGGACCGGTACCGGTCCGTGGAACAAGTCCTACCGGGTCGCTGGTTTGCTGGGCGCCGCCATCTTTTTTTGATGAAAAAGTGCTTCCAGTGAGCTTTTCCAGGTAGAAAGCTC